TTCTCAGAAAAAAAGTGTTTGTTTCGGTGAGGTCGAGTTGTCCTGTTGTTGAATCGATTTTTCCACCCGCCGTAGGTAATCGTAGGAGTGAACTGTAAGTATAAAAGTGTCTATACATGGCATGAGTGGTTGCAAATCTCATGTCGAATTCATTGCATTTGCAGAAAGTGATGTTGTTGCAATGGCAAAACGCTGATTTAGTTTACCGTATGATACATGGTAAACTCGTCTTTTGACCCGTTAGTAGTTAACCCACCCATGTTTATTAAACATTTTCGTCTTGCAATGGTAATGAGAGACAGCACGATTCCACGTCGCACCGGCTCTCGAACGAAAGCACCGGTCATTATTTTATAATCATAAGTTGTCTGCAAGCCAACATAAAAAGAAAAAAACATGATACCAGATGGTTGTTCAGAACCCGATGAAAAAGAAAAACAATAGCTCAGGAAGAAAACATAAACTAAAATGAAATGACAAATACTGTGCGTGTGGTTTTAAACAAACAGCGAAGACCTCATGTACGGCTTTTCTATTTTCCAACGCTGGAGAAGCTGTGAGTATATTTTTACAAGTAGCACCCTACTCAGCTTTTCAGTTATTAATTTTGGGATTTACGTTTCCTTGATTTGTTGAGAACAACGGAAAAAAAGATATCAATCACATCAAAGTTGTTCAAAATAACAAACCGATTTATAATCTTTATTGAAATAAGAAAACGTCTTATATATTTTCAGATAAAGGCGAGTTCAAATTGTTGATGAGATTTCACCTCCCCGATCGATTAGAAGATAACTGGTTTTCGAATTTTGCCAGAAGAAAAATTTGAAACCTTAATTCCCTGTGGTGATTTGAGAAGGCGGGCAAGAGTGAAAAACATCGACCGGCAAAAGCGGAGATTATGTTGATGCACTTCAAAATTCTCTTTATTGACATCAAAAGAATGTATCGAAATCGGTAAAAAGAATTTTTGTTTCGAGGTAAAGACAGAAAGATTAACGTTATGTATTGTTTTTCCTTTCTTTTAGTCCTGAAAGTAGCAGCGTGAGATATGAAATAATCATTTATTGCGCTCCTTGAAATATAAGCTTCGTTTCAAGCTGCAAGTTTTAATCTAAAATTGTTTAGCGGTGAGTATATCATGCTTTTTGCTGCATCAGTCACTCCTTGGTCGTTTTTTCTAGAATAATCTGCCTGGTCAACCCATGGTGAATTCTGTTTTAGCTGTAAGTAAGCTGTTTAATGTTCATAGTCTGTTTTAACCATCGAGAGTAAGAGCATTGTGTCAGTAGTCTTCGTAGTGCAGCTTTTTTCCTTTTGTTCTAGCGTGCTTGAAAACTTGAAAGATCAGCGAAACTCAAAGGCTTACGCTTTTCCAGTTGAATTTCGTTTCTTCGTTTCTTTTTTTTTTCTTGGCGGTTCGTTTTTATTTTCTCTTGTGTTTGTCGATTCTTTCATGGGAAAAGTGTATAATAATTTGACTGACGTTTCTCGTACTCGGCTTAAGAAGCTAAAATATATCGCTTATCACAACTAATTGACGATTTCGTTCGAAAGCAAATCACTTAAATAAATGTCATTTATGTTCAATTTGAACGACAAATCTGATGGTGTATAATTTTTGCCATCTTGTTTTGCTGGAAGGACACAGTCATTCATATGTCAAATAACCTAGACATTTGACCCTCGCGTTTGGAATTTTAATTATTTTTTTTTTTCACTTCAGCTTTCTGACATGAATAAGTAAGTACTTTACAGTTTCGCTACGGAAATTGTCGAATTGTTAAGGTGTTATCGAAAACTGATTAACAAAAGCGAATTTCCATACGCCTAAACTAACATATTTTGCCTTGGCGTAGCTTTAAATTGAACAAAATAAATCAAGTGAGAAATACTCAGTCCGCAGTTTTTCAGATGACTCGAAGCAGTGAATCCTCCAAGACCGATTTTTCATAATTCATTGATGAATTACAGTGCATGTTTAATTTATTTTAATATTTAGTTTATTTAAAAAAACGCATACAATGGCCGTCATATGCCTTTGTTATGCGGATGCTAAATAGACCAGATGAAAATTATTACTTTTGGTAATCAGTATAGTGTTCCAGCGAAAGGTGTTTTCTCGTCGGGCAAGTCTGAACGTTGTAATGATGTGATTATTTTTTGGTGGAAGAGGAGTACTGTGCTTGAATATCCAACTAGTGAGGGATAGTGTCTCTTCAGTTAAATCCTCTTCGAAGTTATATTTACTTACACGTAGTAAGTATTGCACGTTTTTATGCCGTTTTTCTGATCACAAAATTCCTAGTTCTCGCGTAATCATATTCATTCTAACAAATCTCTATAATGCAATCCTTTCTGACGGTATCGTACCAGGTTTATTTCGTTATTTTAGTAAAGGCAATATTAGCATCTTAGTTACGTCATAGCATTATCACGTTTGAATCACGGTGTAAACGAACATGACATTAACACACCCAAATGAACGAGACGTCGAGCTGTATCTATCTGTTTCGATCGGATTTTTTAAGCAGATAAAAACGAGCTCTTCGGTGTTTGAAACATGGGTCAAATATTTGGTGCAGCTCAAATGTGTGACTTATTTGCATAATGTCACCGAGTTAGTAACGATATAAATGTTGCCATAATACCCTTGGTAAAAACTATGGTTTTGTGCGCGATGTTTCGGCAAATCACCACCAACGGTAACTAGGGAGATCGCGAAAATAAAAGCTGCTTTTGGGTAAAGAAATTGTAAAACGTGATAATAAGGAAATGTTAACTAGTAAACAATCTCCTGCAAATGCAAATGTAGAGTCCTGGAAAATCGTTAAGAGTCTCCGTATTGGCGGAATGGTGACAAAGTTGTTTGATGTTAAAAACTAATGCGAGGATCTGAATGTGGGACATTCGTGTTAATCTAGAACTTTGTTGATCTGTCGTCCCCACAAGCCGTGGTCTGTGTCTCAAATGCAGTGACAATACTTGACATTTCTCAAAGAAAAGAATTTCACCAAGTCAACATATAAATATTTCATTGTTGCTGTATAATATTGCGCTGTACAACATACAAAGGAATGAAAAGTGCTCATTGACTCGGAAAAGTGGTTGAATCCACTTACAGTTTAATGGCAAGGAAATTGATTTTTTTTTTAATTTTGAAGGCAATTGGTGTAAGGCTGTTATTTGAAGAAGCGTGAGGGCCGTATCGATACAATATTGTTCCAGTTCCCATTCTGCAGGCTTACGAACAGGGTCGATCTATATAATCCTGTAAGAAAGTGAACGAGATCAGAAGCGTGTTCGTTCTTTTCCAGTTTCGCTGAAAAACAAGAGAACCATTTATTCTCAGTGACAGCCCGCAGCAGTGTCAACAACCTTGCCTTCGTGTATTTTTAAGCCATTTCTCTCAAGATGATTCCGAAATCATGATCTAGAAGGCAAGGTGCGGTTTCATCCAGCAACGTCTTTCTTTTGAACATAGTGTTTTCCAAATTGACAAATCGGCAAAATAAATCGCTAGCGGTCTATACCACGGATCACAAATCAGAATGCGTATCGCATCGTGGAACAGTTCGGTAAATAAAGATGAAGTTTGTCGATTAATTTGTAGCGCTTAGGGTCTTAACCCTGGAATGACCCCTCCCCCTCTGTATAGTTATGGTCGTGTAATGAGTCGAAGTATTGTCAGCGTTAATTTGTTTAGTTAGAAATACTACCCTTTGGAGTGAAAATGGATTTGCCCCACGTCCACAATACAAAGAGATTCTGGTACCTTTCAGGAGTTCCGATGACCCTTCCCGCCAGGTCCTTTTGGCGGAGTCCACTTTTCCCCTCCGCTACATTTCCCTCAACCCCCCTCTTATAATAATGTTGCAGTCCATGAAGATAATTTTCCTGGCGGATGATTTCCTTCATTCTCTTCACCTGTTCGTTTAACAATGTATTGATAATGTAGGAGAAGTCGATGTCGATCAGTTTTTGTTAGGTTATTCATGTATGTATTGCTGAACAGTCATTGTTTAAAAAATGTTCATCTGCATGTTCATATTTCCATTTCTAGTTATATCGAGTCTGTTTTATTTCAATTTCTAGTCACAATCATGGTATGAATCACAATAATAGTTATATTTAATTTCGCAAAAAAAAAAAATCTCATGACAACCGAGAATGACACTCTTTTACAAATTACTTTTGTAATATTTAGCAACTTTCATCAACTACGGAATCAAACCGTGGATGGGTTAAATTAATGTAAATCGTTAGTAAGAGGTCATCAACACTTTTTCATCAATTGAAGGTGTATTTCCTGTTTTTAGTTGACCACGTTCCGGTGACACTGTTTATTTTAGTGATTAAGACTGGTGTTCGAAGACGAACTTTTAAAAGTACTAGAGGAAAATGTAATCAATCTTGTGCTAAAAAAGCGTTTAAAGTTGCAAGCTTGCCCCCGCTTTGAGGTAGCTTGCTCTCGGTAAGTTTCTCCCCATTGTCCAATATAAACATCCTACACTGATAGATTCAATGTTTTGAGTGGTTTTCCGGCAGACGGCATTAACTCGAATAACTTTCAATGGCTCACTGAGACCAGCCTGTCCAACCCGGACAGGAGTTTGACGTTTATTTACCATTACAGGTGTTACGCGATATACGTATTTAAGTGGAACAAAAATAATTTTTCGCTCATAAAATATTATATCCGATCAAATAGAATCATTTGTACAGATACGCAAAGCAGGAGGGATCATTCGATGCTTGTTACCTTTTGCTTGATTGCTTTTAAATAAAACGACTTAAAATCTTGGGGCTTACTGAAAGTTGAGCCATGCAAGTTTAGTGTAGACTTTCGTCTACAAAATGAAAAGGTTTGTTTTTACTGATCACAAAACATTTGTTCGCTCAATTTGCTTTCCACTTTATAACTCATCCATTTCCTATGATCATGTTCACGCCAATCAACGTTGGCGAGTTTTTGACATTTTTGTTGTATTACCTGTCAGGTCTTCAACACGTACGGGAAGTCTTATAATATGCAGGTGCATATCTCAAACCTTCCTAGCTACAGAAAGCAAAATTAAGATGCTGGTGAGTATTCTTGATATTTTTTTTTTTGCATTATCTCTGCCGATATTTATTTGAACGCTTGGTCCTGAAATAATTCACACGTTGTTTAAAATTTCTTCTTTTTTCGTGTGGAAATTTTTAACAAGTTATACCAACGACGATTTCATAATATCTTGCTCGTGTTCATGACAGGTTGTAAAAATATGCGATATATAAGTGCAGTCGTAAAAAAATGACATCTTATCTCTTTGATAAGATAGTTATATTACATCTCTAATATATAGCTCTTTTCTGTCGCCTATGTTTTATTTTAAAGCAAGGGTAAGCGATTTACATTTGAAAGCAGGTTTTCTGTTTATAACTTGGGAGGCGCGAAGAATATACTCACTTTCTAATCCACCAGCTACAGTCACTCTCAGAAGCTGGTATTTGTGATGCCAATCATTCATTCAATCAGGTACCAAAATTTCACTAGGGTTTCAAACGTAAACAGGTGAGGTTTAACCAAAATAGGTTGTAGTTAACTTGGTCTCCTGCTCAAAATAACACCATTCTAAGCTGTCATTTTGAAGAGGAACATGTAGCAAAATGGCGAGAGAAATATGCGTCGGTACGGGTAAAGACAAAAGCATTTTAAAGAAGAACGACGCTGGACGAGGGGAGAGTCGGTGGACGAGAGATGGACAAGAATTTACTTCAAAACGCACGGCTATTATCTGTGCAACAAAGTGGTAGCGAAAAATTACATCTTCGGCATGTCATTCTCGTTAGATCTTTCCGAGTTTCGGTTTTATCCGGCCCAGACCTCCCTCCACTTTCCTGCTTACCGCCAGCTGCACCCAAGAAATAATCAAAGTAAGCTCTTACCTTGATAATCTCTTGCTGCACTCGATTCAGTGCAAGAAACTTCAGGACATTTGACGGCGGTCAAATAGAGGGCAGAAGTTTGCAGAAAGAAAAAAAAAATTGAATTAAAAAATAAGGTCTTTTTTCACTGTTCAAAGTTCAATACCTTATCAGTATCCCGCTAAGTACAGTTTTGAATCCTTTTCTTCAAAAGGGTCTAAGAGTTTGAAAACTGGACAATGTGGATTCGTCGTCGCCATTTTGTTAAAGTAATTTCTTCGGATGCACACGTAAGGAGTATCTAAATTTAGAAACTGCCTTAACTTGTTTATTTGAGAAAATGAAAACATACTTATTGCACTAAGCAATCTTTTTAGAGATCTCTACTAGAATTGTTTAAACCTTACTCGAAAGCAAAAGAAAAACTGCTTGAACTAGGTCAGGTACGGACGATATACACTGGACTCATGACTAGAATAGGAGCTAGTGTAGCGTTCTAACTGCATTCATTTTCTATAATATCAATTGACGAAATTCCAATTAAAATAACCAGGACTTTGCTTCTCCTTGTCGAATTTGGTGCTGTTTGTTTCTTTTCATCCGTTCAGTGTCGTGTGATACGGTATGTTTTATCGATTTCTCCACTTGTGCACGCTGGAGGGAAAGGAAGGAAAATGTACCCTTATATTTGAATGTTGAATTAAACGTAACACAAAAGTTCGGTAGTTTACAAGTGTGGATGGCAGGCCAAATCGTATAAATAAAGCTGCGTTTTCAAATTTCTCCGCCGTAGTGTGGATGCTGCCTAAAACAGGCCGCCCCAAAGATAACTAGTCTAGGTTGTTTTTGAGATATAAGAAGAATTTTAATTTTCGGAAATGTTATCTTTGGCTATACTAGCAGTTGGGCTTCCTCCTTAATTAGAGGCAGCCTCACTCATTTCTTCGGCGTAGTGTGGACGAGACCGTTTATTATTCGGTAGTTACTGATTTCTTTACCGTTCCTTATTAACTTGAATAGCTACCTAAAACGGTACTTAATCCACAAGTGTTTTTATCAGCTGACAAATCTGCTGTCGTATATCCTATTAACACTATGGTAAAATCCCGTCTGATTTGCTTCTACGTCTGAAGTGTACATTTAAAAATTTAATTTGAAAAATTTAATTTCAGTGAATACTGACTACGCTGCCTTGGAAATAGTGTATTGAATTTTCTTCCTAATTAAATAACAAAAAATAGCGAAACAACAAGCAGTTTGCATGTCGAAATAATAAATAACAGCTGTTGAAAAATGCCACAAAAAATGAAGTTCGCCACTTTGTTTGTTTTTTTGACTACAATATTTTGCCAGCCTTGTTTCATTTGCCCTTTTTTTTTGTAATTTGTCCACTTATCTTTGCAAGAGCAAAAATTTTTGATATCTGGAAGATTAACATTTTTTTATAGATAGCTTAATGTGTCTTAACTCCTGATCCGTTTAGTCTTGTACTTCAATGGTTAGGTAAAATCTTCAAAGTTGTGAACATTATATTTTAGTCATTTTTCGTATTCAAGCTCTGTCGCTTCGTTTTCGTGTTACAACTATTTTATACACGCTGCATATAGCGGAATCATAAAAACATTGAGATTTCTTACCCTCGGATATGGACTGCTTTTGTTCCGATTCTAGTATAGAGACACAAAAACAATATTTTAATTGTTCGTTTGATCTGTGCCGATACGTTTGTACAATGGTTTTCTTATTGCATTAAGGTCAGTGTAAGCCATAAATCATCGGCACCCTGCTACTCTTTCATCCGATCGGAGAACAGTTTTTCTGAAGTAAATGTAATCCTAATATGTTTTCAAACCGTTGTTCTGGTAGCTTCTAACACTTCCTGTTTTCAGCTTTCAACTTTCTTTTTCCTTCTTTCCAAAACAGATTGTCTTTATTTTCTTGCCCTTAATTATCTGTCACGTTTCTGACGAATCTATTTACCATGCACAAACACCGCTCTCCCGGACCGTTCATTTATTGCCAAGCCAGTCAAAACGCAATTGTTTCGAATGTCAAAATGCAACATCAACAGTCCATATATGGTCATAATTGACACAAGTGTTTGAGTTTGATTGCCTAACTGTTACACTTAAACGCATTTTTAATATATTCTGGTTAGGTACACAAACACGAACATCACACTGTGGTTGATGGCTATCGTAAATTTTCTTTCCGGGATGCAATTTTCATAACTGCATTTAAATCCGTCTGGAAAGAAAGTTTGTATTCCGTTAGGTATTGAGTCTTTTTCACCACTCAGCCTTCTAACTGCTTTTTCCTTTGTCATTCATTTCCATTTACAGGAGTTCCAGAAAATTGCTTTTGTAGCTCGATTTGAGTGCACTGAAAAAACCATTATGCGCTGGTTTACAAGGCAGTAAAATAAAAGCAGAGCACAATAGTAAAACAAGCAGCACTCGACTAGCTTCGGGGATTTCGAACGACAGGATTGAAACAACTGGATCCCGATCGCTTGGTTCATCTAGACGATCTTTTTTTTCTGACCTCCACGAGGAACTCAGGGAATTGACGGTAAACTGATATTGGAGAGTCTTTGAAGTGTGCGAACAAGCGCCGGATTGACAAGGACGCGCTGAGCAGATGAATGACCGCAATATAGGAACTCGCTTTCCTCCGTTTAAAGCCAATTTTCCACGGTTTTAAAGCACATTTTTAACCTGGTGCCTTAAATCTATCAAACCAAAGACTACAATGCCTCGCTCAAGGACTACGCGTTTGTACGTCGTTTCACTTGCGTTTATCGTTTCCACATTAGTATTTCTTATATTGGTGTCTGTCACCGAAGCGGATTATACTGTAGGCCTGCTAATTCCCATGTACAAGGCATATTACCTACAGAAGGGACTTTATTACGCCTCCGCGATTAACATCGCTATGGACGAAATAAACAGGCAAGAGAACCTTTTGCCTGGGAATAACATTTCTTTTATTTGGAACAATACTGATTGCGAGGACGAGAGCAAAACCATACGAGCGTTAATGTATCAGATGTACGAAGCCAAAGTCTCCGCAATCATTGGACCAGGGTGTACTTGCAACACGTCGGCCAGAAATGCAGCCGCCTTCAATGTACCCATGATATCTTACGTAAGTACACATTTTCTGTTTACACGTTTGATAGTGTTTCAATATCCAAGCTTATTCATGTCTTTGTCAAGCAATTTCAACACGAGTTTCCATTAAGAAGTGCTGGTTAAGACCAGCTTTAACAACTTTTTCCGTTGACGTTTGTTTAGATAAACTCTTTCAGGCCTTTAATAAATGCACGTTATGCTGTATTTCACACGGCTTTACTGGAGCACTGACGTGCCACATGTACCGGAATCGAAAGAACGCAGAACAACATTTTCAACCGGTACACCTGTCTTTACAGAAAGCACACTATGCGACTAGCTCAAAAATCTCCATTTTTAGGCTCCAGAAAACATTGCTGAAAAAAAATCTCTTATTTAATTAAAGTTCCCTGGCAGATGTCTAAGCTATGTCTACCTATCTTGTCTTTGCAATTTACTATTTTCTTACGCTTCTAACTATCATTGTTGAAAGTCACCTCAGGGTGCCAAATTGACAAGCCTTTCAGCTTTTCTCTGATATAGTGTTTTCACTTATAAATTCACCATGGTACACTTATTAGTTATTTAAGCATTGCCGCAATTTCTTTTTTCTTTTTCTTTTTTTTTCCAACTACATAAATTTAAGTTTGGATCAAGCCGAGAGGAAGTCTGAAATTGTTTAGGTTGTGGGAGCGGACACTGTTGTTAATTAGAACATGAGGTAAAGGTAATTAAATTGATAAAAGGAATGAAACTATAAATTCATGGACGTGTTTAAGGCAGGAGGGCATAGAAAAGAAAAGATCTCCAACCATCAGCAGACTGGTTGTCGTGTAAAGCACGATAAATCTTTGCTCTTTATTCTTTCCTGTCTCATAAATACATGGAAAGTGCCGCAATGCTTGATGCTTTTATATAGAACGCACTGAAAAGGGGAGAAAAAAATTGCTGTTCTGGGCTAGCTTTCGAACTGTAACTGTCAAGGGGATATCTTAAATATATTTTGAGTATTGAAGACTTGCGGCTGGAGAGGAAAAACAAAGTAAAGTTTATTTTTCTCCTCCGACACAAATTTAATGAATTGCATTATCCGGCGGTAGTCAAACTTCCTCCGACGGGCTCACACCATGTTTGATATTATATTTATAATCCAAGACCTACATAAACGTTCAGAAAAATCACAATTTGTTTCAAGCTTCATTTCAGTTTAGATACCGTTATTAGTTTTTCTTTCATATAGGGTGTATTACGTATGAATGACAATGGTTTTATCTGCACTAAGTGAAGCCAAACAACTTTGTTCCCTTTCAGGGAAATTAAGCTCGATGAATTAATTTTTAACATGAGTTCTGAGAATTTCGCGGTTCATCAACAGATTTGATTTACTCTCATGGTTGTTGTCACCTGTCCGCTTAACCATTCACTGTTGGAGTGAAGAGATTAAACTATGCTTCGGGCCTTTTTTCGGAAAACAACAACGAAGGCTGAATTATTAATGTTGCAGCTAAATATATCCTTGTGTGTTGTCATCTTTTTCTCCTGCCTTAAAGCTTGGAGAAAGGCGCGCTAAGCATGTCGATCCGGAACGAAAATGTAATAAACTATGAGACAACAAGCACACTTATATGAAGAAACACAAGAAGAGTTAAATTATCTTCAATGAATACCTTGAGTCCAGTGAAAATTGCAATCTACAAAACAGTCTCCAGGCTGTTGGGAGTTACTCTTAAAGATATTTAACAGTTATTTGACGAGGTTGAGCAAAATATCGTGATTTGTCAATGGCAAGCAGATCAATTATTTGCCGAAGCCGAAGCCTGAGGCAAATAATTGATCTGCAAGGCACTGACAAATCAAGATGCTTTGCTGTAAACGAGTTCAATTATTGTTTTATCGTTCGATCACCAAGTTTGTTTTCATATTTCAATCACTCTGACAGCCCAGGGAAGCGATCTGCCTTTTTTTCACACAAGAGCCCGATTACAATTACGCATGAGTGGAATATTATTTGCAGAAGACTATTTACAGCAAAACACTTATTATGATTTTACGCATGAGCAGACCATCATTGGTAGGTATTAGCTGAGTATGTTACAACCAGCGAGGTACACCATGCTTGATAGTTTTTCTAACAGTTTTGCCGTCGTCGTCGCCGTCGTAATCCAATCCCCAAACTCTACTTTCTTCCCGCCCTTTTTAGAGGTTGAACCTTGGCGGATAAAAAGAGAGTCTAGGGCCTTTGGGCAGTTCTTTGCAGGTCACGTGGTGGGCTTTCGGCCAATGAAAAGGAAGGAAAGTGCATTGAATGATAATTCACTTTATCTCGTCGACAGAGGAAGGCAGCAGAAGACAGTTACAGGCAAGCTCAGCGCAGACACCATTAAACATAATTTACAATTCCTCTCACGTGATTGTCTGGGTTAGATTTATTATGAGCTTATTGACTGATCAGTGGATATCATTTGGTCCAAGAGCATGCATGCCTGTAAAATAACCGAGAGCTCATTATTTTCTGATCCACCCGACCAAACTGTTTGGTCAGTACGAGAGTTCTATCATACCACCATTGTTGAGCTTCAGTGGTTTAACAGAACTTTCTGAAAACGTCTTCGCGCATGTCCTGAATTGCGCTTGCTAATCAAAATGCTGGATTCAATGTCAAGGTGTAAGGTAACTAGCTCACGTCGACCCTTGCGGACCTACACAGTTCATCGTGGTGCTGGTTTCAAAACGATTGCTTCAGAGGGTCAGTACGGTGGTATGAATGACATTTCAACAACCTAATTATATAACAGTTCCTTATACACAGTGTAACTCGGTTAAAACGGACACCAACACAAAAGCGTCCATAATGTCTGAGTTTCCGTACAAGGCGGACACTCAGAGTAAACCTCACAGAGTCATGTTTTATCGATGTAGTGGACTGATGTAAAGGGCTAGTAACTTTGCCAGCTAGAGTACGTCACTAGGGTCAAAGAATGTCCGTTGTCCATATTTACCGGTCTGGTCCGGTGTTTTTATTAAGCGGGCTGATGAACGAGAAAGTCGAACTTTTCTTCAGGACAAAAACAAGCTCTCCCGATCCATAGTAAGCGGCTGTCTGTAGAAGGGGGGTCCACTTTATTACCTACATTTGTATTGTTACAGCGTAAAGTTTTTCAGCCTTAATTGACAATCGGAAAAGATTTGATCGGCTAGGATTCGTACTTTTCCCGCCAGTGATTATTTCACGACGTCTTTCATTTGTGTTTCTTTTTGGTCTCTACAGATGTGCAGGAGTCCAGAACTTTCAAACAAAGAGCTTTACCCGACATTTGTAAGAACTTACGCCCAAACTACAAAACTTGCCGAGAGCGTGTTGTTGTTACTCGAGAAGTTTAGCTGGACTAAAGTGGGCATCTTGTTTGAAGGAACCAGCAACTGGGAAGATATTAAAGACAACATGAAAAAGCATCTGAGACTGAAAGGGATTGAACTCAGGGCCGAGAAAGAGCTTCCTAAATCGGATGATTTTGATAAGAGTCCAGAAGTACATAAGCCTGTTATCAAACAGATTTTGAGGGACATCAAAGATCAAGCTCGCAGTGAGTGTATTTGTAAATAAATGGTACTGGACATGCAAGAATCAAAGCACAAATGGATCTGCAGTTCTCCTTCATTATGGAAGGATGACAGATACACTTTGTTGATCACGACTTAAGGCCAAGTAATACAAGCAGCATGCACTTTCCTGCAGCTTTTCGTGCAACAATGTTGCTTTGCAAGTTAAAAAGCGTTAGTGCGCTTATAAACCACATCTGTATTGGCCACACCCGTTATGCAAGTCGCGGCCAACATTTTGCGCGGATGAAGTAAGCTGGATTTCAACTTTGAGCATTACGTTGCTACAACTTGCAGTACTTTCCAACTTGCAAAATAACTTTGTTGCGTGGCAAGTTGCAGGGGAAACTTGCTCGTATTACTTAGCCTTTAAGCAGCTCTGTTTCCTCTTCCGTCGCCTCGCTTCCTTCTGGTATAGGGAGATTCATGCTGACGTCATTGTTTACATTTTTGCTCATTTGCATACGGCTTTGCGTACAGAAGGACACATGTTAGATATGAATTGACTCCAGGCAGCTAAAGAGCTAGTGAAACTTGATACATGGTGAAATTTTTAGCTCTCTGGGTGTAATACTCAAGGAGAACGGCGGTCTTTCAAAAACTGCAAAATTTCTGGGTGGCAAAGGCGCTAATGAGCTCATACATTCTTTGTATAATTTTGAAATTTTAAACCTGTGTTGCACAAAAATTATTTAATACATCATGCTCATATTCATTGGCAGAGTTAGTCGTACTGACCTTTCAGTATTCAGAACTGATTTATGTGTACCTCCATCAGCAACTGAATTGCTTATGCTAATGAGGCAAATATTGTAAACAAAGGTTCTCCTATTGTTCTGTAGGAGTTTCTTGTCGAAATTGAATGGTTTGTTTTTGGAAGAGATGCTCTTGGGAAACATGGTGTATCCTTAAGCATGTTTCCGACGTAACCACCGGAACCTTTCAAAATGCATGCTAGAGTACTTTCTGATTCGACTAGAACAATAGCAAAGAGAAGCAGGGGACAGGAAAGAGTATACAATGATGCAAAGTACATTCCATTGGTTGGTCTGCCACTGACCGATTGTCAGGTAAACGAGATATCTGATTGGCTACAGGGTGGGCTAATTAACAATTAGATTATGAGCTCGAGATTTCTATTGCGTATTAGGATAAATCTACTAGCCTTCTATCACGAATACTGCTCTCTGATTGGCTACGCTACTCACTATCTATTCTGTGATAGACAGTGAGTAACGTAGCAGTGTGCGCTTGTTAACAAAATGACGGCCGCTTCTTGGCATTTTCGAAGTGTCTGTGAGTAGAATTTAGATAAAGTTTTGAAAGACTAGCAGATTTATACCTAAACAATTAGATTATTCGCTCTCGATTTCTATCGCGCGATAGTTGACGAGTAAACTATCACGCGATAGAAATCGAGAGCGAATAATCTAATTGTTTCTCGAGCTCATAATCTAATTGTTTTAGTATAAAACAATCAGTATAATCTAATTGTTTTAGTATGCTTAAGGATACGCCATGTTGACCAGGACGTATCTATCACTCAAAGAAATTGAGAGCGAATAATCTAATTGTTATAGTATAAACCTAAAATTAGGAGCAATTTATCTAAATCCTCCTCACAGACACCTCGAAAACGTAAAGAAGCGGGGCCCATTTTGTTAACAAGCGCACACAGCTACGCTACTCACCATCTTCAACAGAATAGACAGTGAGTAGCGTTGCCAATAAAAGAACGGCATTCGTGATCGGACGCTAATAGATTTATAGCAATTACCGATAGAACAACACACACTTTATTGCCAAAATAGGAAAATTCTTGATCACAAAAAAAAGATAATTGAAACAGAAAATCATGTAAATTCATCCAGAATAACTTAAAAACTAATCGAGCTTGCCCTCTAAGGATCCTCTAATTGTAAAATAATGAAAACCTCTTAAATGCAAAGAGTCGATTCTCCAAAGAGTGAACTTCCTGAACTGATCTACTAGTGACTTATTTATTGCTAAGTTACTTTATTTATAGATATTTAGTGACTTAATGATTTATTCCGCTTCCCTATTTATTGTTGCTGTTTTCTTTTTTCCCCTTATTTTATCTCCTTACTGCTCAGTTCCCCTTTTAAGCTTTATTGCCAACCAACTTCTTTATATAAATAAAATTTAATTTCAATCAGCTCGATTAGCTTTTAAGTTATTCTGGGTGAATTTACCTAATTTTCTGTTTTGATTATCTTTTCTTTTTTTTTTTTTGTAACTAAGAGTTTTTCTAATTTGGTAACAAAGTGCGTGTGTGTTGGTTTAATTGATGATCTCCTTAATTGTTATTTTCTTTTTTATTCATAGTCATAATCATCCTCACTGAACTCTACCTCGCTCGTAACATGCTCATTCCTGCCCGCGAGGTCGGACTCACTGATGGAGACTATGCGTTCATAATGTTTGAGCTCGACCACGATGGAGTCTTCAGACATAAGGAACACCCAAGTTCTTGGTTTACCATACCCACAGATCCAAGCGATCCCTACTTTCGCTGCAAGTTTCAGCAGGCGTTTGAATCCGTATTGATGATAGCGATAAATGTAAATGAAAACAAAGAAGGAGAATTCAAAAAATTTCAGCGTGCCGTTGTGAAGCGCTCTCCAGAAAAACCTTTTCCCAACAGTACTATCTACGAAGGACATCTTTTTGGTAACCCAAAACTACCCCTTGCAAACGCAACTCCGGTAAGTTCATAAGTGGCTTTTTATTCATTTTTTCGTTTAATTAAATCTGTCTGAGATCGCCCAAATTTAAAATAATAAAAATAATCCCGTAGGCTTTGAATTGCTCATGCTCAAGACAGGATTAATCCTTTTAACAAAACCTTTTACTCGACAGCCTCCGATATTTGCTGCGTTTCTTTATGACGCAGTTTACCAGTATACTATCGCCTTGAACAAGACGCTCGCAAACAACGAAGAACCCAACGGTGGAAACATCATTTCCAAGCTGCTAAATAATGAATACAACAGTGAGTCAACGCCTTTCTTGTGTTTTATTATTAACTTGCAATGCCTTAAGGGGACATTTTCCCTAGAACTTGTTACTCTTTCCAGGTATTAGTGGTCAGCGAATATTTATTGACAAACATGGAGACGCTGAGGTCGACTTAACTCTTTTGGACATGCAATGGGAATACTCAAGTAAGTCGAGAAAGAGGTTATTGCTACATGCAGTGTTAATCGTGGTAGAGCGGTTTTCAATCGAGTGTCGTAAAACCAAACGCAGAGTAATCACTCTAGCCAATCACTTAAAGCCTGGTTTTCACTGGCGACCAAGCAGAATCACAAGCACAAGCGCAAACACGATAATTCTTATTTCACCGTGAAAACGGCCTTGACGCAGGCATGAGCACAAGCACAAGTACAAGGATCAAACTTTTTTTCTTTTTCTTGTGCTTGCGCTTATGCTTGCGTTTGTGCTGCAACAAGTTTGCGCTCAGTCATAACACAAGCACAAGGATATTTACCACACGTGGTTATGTTTGGCCAATCAAAACACTGGATCCAGATTACCTCGCGCTTAAACAGTTTTCCAAAATGGCGGAAGGCTCGGATGATTTTGGTTGTGCTTGTGTTTGCGTCTAATGTCGTTTTCACTTGGGTCATCTCTATTGCTTGCGTTAGTGCTTGCGTTAGTGCTTGCGTTAGTGCTTACGCTTGTGCTTGCGTCGCCAGTGGTAACCAAGCTCAAGAAACGCACAATCCCACAATTCAGTCAAAACTGAAAGCAAACTTATGTAGCTGACCCAGTGCTCAGGAAAAGTGTGCGAGCAAGAGCAAGTCATGATTGGTTTTGGTTTTTCTTCTGATTGGATGATCGTGACAAAGTGGCACGAGTTCTTTTAACCAATTACTTAAAGTAGTAGTGCTAAACCAAAGCAAGTGCGAATTACTTTTGACTTTTAAGTTCTAAGGTGCACCATGGCATGAAGTGTTTAACGAAGGTGTTTCGGTGGCTTCACAAAGAATTGACAAAAACAAAGAAAATGGGGCAGAGAGAGTTTGTGTATCTGTCTTACTTAAAACACTCAAGTGAAAACTGGTCTCTCCGTTTCGCTGACTGGCCCCCAACGTATCAGGAGAGATAATTCAATCAATGAAATTAATTGAGGAACAGGTGGCAAGAAAACGTTTTCTCCGCAGAATTTGCTTAGTAATATATTGGACCAACCAGGGCCAACAATGCTACGACTAATCTTAGCAAGTTTTCTTCGCTAGAGAAGGATTGCCCAAAGAATGTGTCGAATACGGCAACAATGGTGACTGTGGGAGAATTTAATATGAACTATGACAACAACAGTGACATTCAAGTAACCTTCGCCCTGACTGGTACGAAGATCGTGTGGCCAAAAGGATCGCCACCAAAGGACAGTCCAGAATGTGGTTTTGATAACGAGAAATGTCCTCCTAATTCTACAGACGCAGAAAGTGGTAAGGCGATGTCGAAGCTACTTTTGTTTTCATTCATGTGTTTGGCACATGATCATTTAGGATGGAGGGCTCCTTAAACTAGTGTAATGTAGTTTAATTGATAGGACAGCAAGGCTACAATTTCCACCAACCAAACTTGATTGTCCACCGTGCGTTTTCCCGTGTTTGTACCGCCTGCATATTTTGCTTCGAACCATACCAATTGGTTCATTGCATTGTTAGATTCGCTTGAAGTAATTACTTTTTTTTTATTTCAAGACCGGCACCATTCGTAGCTCAGTCGGAAGCCTCACAAACAGGACAATTACCAATAACGATGAGCAATTTTCACAATGGCTCTGACAACTAAACTATAGAAATTCTGCATTCACGTCTGCGAATCCCATCTTTTACACACATGCTTTATACACACTTTAGTGGAAGGTTGGCGAGTTGTCCATCTCCTTGATCAGAGTATCCTAGTAAAACTTGGGCCTCAGTGCCTCATGGATTGTATGTCTAACCAGTTATTTAATTCTCTTGCAGTTAAAATGGCTATAATTGCTGGGATTTCAGGCTTTGCTGGTCTTCTTCTTTTTCTTTTTTGTGTGAGCAAAATAAGGCGAGTTTCCCTTTATTTAGATTCTATTACACACCACGATTGTCATGGCTTTCTAATAACATCTAATATGGCATTTGCAGACATTCATGGAAAATATTAAACACGAGAGACAGTCTCTCGTTGCATTTCCAAAAGCCGAGGCGAGAGCACCATATATTATAATATAATATATAGTGATATGAACCATAATAAAGCATTACATGCAGCGAAGCATTTCCCGCGAGCTGCTAAGGTGTTTGTAATTGCAACGAAACTCTACTATCTGACAGGTTTGATACATTGCAATCGAAAGTAAAACTCAGCGTTCGAATAATTAAGAACATTTTTTTCCCAAGCGGGTCACGGCTATGATTTCTTCTGTTTTATCTTGATGAGCTTTAAGAGAACAACGTAGATGCTGGCCGTCCAAAATTGATATCGTCAAAGTGATCTGTAATTTTTTTTCACAGACAGATAAGGTTGGAAAAGGAGCTGAAGAGTTTACTGTGGAAAATAGATTACTCGGAAATTATAATTAAAAGATCAGATTCAGTGACAACGGAGGACAACTTAGGACTTGCGACGGAAATTCAGGTACAGGCTACATAAGCTGTAAGCAACAAATTTCTGGGTAGGCGGACGGGTTTTAGAAATAAAATGAAGTACTTAAGAATGGGTCTTTTCAACTAACAAAATGGAGATGGTTGTCTGTTGTAACTATGGTGATGATTGGGTGGACCGCTCGGCGAGGGTTGTGTGCTGAAATCAACACAGAGGGTGAGGGGTCAGATCGGAAGAGTTTCTACGGTGTTGAGGGTCTAGCAAATGGCCGGATGGGTTGAAGTAAGTATTAGATGAGTTGTATCGACAGATGGCCGGGAAGAGCAATGGACAGTCGGGGAGAATTGTCTGGAGGGAGGTGCCATTCGGGATGACTATATGGACAAACATTTGATTGGAAGGACGCAAGGACAGTCATTTCGTTAGATAATTATCAAAGTGAAAGGAAAATTAAGCGAGCTGTCAGACAGACAGACAGACAAACTGGAAAACAGACAGGCCGATAGAATCTGGATTGCTGCTGTTATCTCACAGAAGTGTTCTCTTTGTCGTTTTGTGATTTTATACAGGAAGGTGAATTTGACACGCCGTTGCTGGAATCGTTTAGAAATGGTGACAGTGCACTGGATTCCACCCGTTTTGGTTTTTTCAAGGTAATTCGTAAAATTAATTTGAAGCTCTTGAATAGCAAGCAGTTAAAATACTGTTTTTAGTCTATTTTCAGCCTACAAAATGATCGCGTTCTCGAGTGAACAGGTGCCAAGATTACAAATACCCTTAAGTTATTGACATTGCCTTACTTCTGCATCAAGTTATCAGAATTGGTATATGTCAATCATTAAAATAATTGACGAAGCAAAAGAAGCGCAACTTAGATGAGCGTTATTTCAATGATTCTATCTTAGTACTTGAGCACGATATATTCTCGTTTTATTCATTTTCCTTTAGGGCACCTCTGTGGTTGTAAAGCGAGTTGGCTCAAAGAATGTGGATTTAACACGGTCCGTGCTTTTGGAAATGAAGCAGGTAAATTATGCAGGTATAGAATGCTCTGAGACAAGGTTTAGGACTCGGAGGTTTGAGTTCGAGCCCTTGTGCAGGACCATTCACTGCCATAATAACTCCCTCTAATCAGGAGTAGAGACATCTGGGATTGAGCCCTGGGCCTGTTTCTCGAAAGTTCCGGAAACTTTTCGTGTCCGCACAGCCATTTTTATTTAATCGGTATTTAAAGACAGAAAGGTGTGTACGCCTGAAACTTCTTGTATGAAGAGAACCTCTGTTTTATGCATAAAACAGCTCTGAAGTCATAAGGTTTGAGATTTTGCTACGGCTTTTCGGCTGCGAAAACTTTTTGGGACCTTCGAGAAACGGGCCCTTGGTCAGGTTTCATAGCGTTTTGTTCTAGGGTAAGACACTAAACTGCCAAAATGCCTCTGTCAACACACATTCATTTAAGACTGTACGCGTTTAAGGGGCGCTCTTGTTCCAATTTTGGTTTCGAATTTTGAAAAGATGTGGAAAGATTTGTCAACCTACGTTCTTGTTTTGACGTCATGGCTTGATTAGTCAGAGGTCTCCACCTCGCGCGGTTTCTTGTCCAACGGGTTGTGTACTCTTACGTTTTCAGAAGGTTAAAACGCGGTGAAGAAAAAATGATGTCCATGTTTTTCTTCTTTCGATTTTTATAACGCGATCACTCTTAGATTCCTTCAAAAAAGTGAAAAATATCTATATGCATATATGCATTTTATAAGCTCCAACAGGCGGGCTTTCTCACCATAGGTTTTAAAAAAACTACATACATTTGGCTGGTCGCCCTCTTTGCGTATAAACAGCATAATGTGAAAGTGACACCCGTACCTTTACCGGTAAAACAGAATTGAAATAATATGTTATTTTGTACACAGATGCTTGATATACGGCACGATAACCTTTCACACTTCATTGGGGCCACCGTTGATCCTCCAAACATTTGTGTTGTGTCGGAGTTCTACTCTCGGGGCAGTCTCCAAGTAAGTCTAGTTATTTAATACCGCCGGATTCTCATTCGTTGTGCCGGGGAGGCAGCGTGGCCGGGTGGTTCAGGGAACTAGTGTTGTAGTCCGGAGGTCCTGAGTTCAAGTCCTGTCTTTACGTTTAGCCATAAGGATCAGTTCTTGGTAGACTCAGGTCCAACTCGTCGGTTGCGCTGGCTTATCAACCCTTCTATCATTTGGAATTTTTGACCATGTTTTGTTGATCTCTAATATTTGTTTAAGAATTTGTTGGCATTGACCCTGAAATGCTCCATTGAGGAATGGTCAGCTAAGATATTTCTTCATCCTGCCTATTTCATTTTTGTTGACCAACTATCCCAAAATTACATACTGAAACAGTATTCGTCCCTCCCAAACAGGGGCTCAATGCACGTAGCCTGCGAACGCAGACGTCCTTCCGGATGTCGCTTGTCTCCGAAAGACGTCTGCGTTCGCAGACTACAATCTTCGAGGCCCTCCTAAGTTAAGGTGCATCCTAAGTATTGTTACTCAACAATAGGCTCCTCTATTCAAACAACACTCAAGAGACATCTTAATCTAAACGAGCTTCGTGAATCTGGCTACAGGTCTGTATCTTCCTGACAAATTTTTTTCAGTGTCATTTTCTGCCGAGTTCCTGTTGAATAAAACACTCCCTGACTTTCACTCTTTTCTCTTTTAGGAAATCCTGGAGAATAAAGATGTTAAGTTAGACCACATGTTTATTTCGTCACTGGTCAACGACATTGTTAAGGTAAATAGACTAAAATATGTAGGAATTTTCTGAAAATTTCAATAGATTTTTGTCGTAGTTTTTCCTTGTACTCTTTGTTGCCATTATGATTTTGTGCTGCTGTTTCTAGGGCATGGCTCATCTTCACAGCACAGATATCAAATCACATGGAAGCCTCAAATCGTCCAACTGCCTGGTGGATAGCCGCTGGGTGTTAAAAATCGCGGACTATGGTCTGCCAAAGTTTCGATCAGGACGAAGAAAAAGCTACAAACATACTGAATCTTACTACCAAGGTAGGCATACAGTATTGTTTTTATGGAGCTGTTGGAGTGAAAGGACTTCCGAAGAGATGTCATGCGACTGTTTGTTGTTGTCGTTGTGGTGGTTGCTATTCTTTTTAGCTTAACTATTATCAGAAAGAAACTCCTTTAATCATGGTTTTTACATTGCGACAACTTAAACCGAGTCACCTAGAAGAAAACTAACCAATTAATCAGAACTTAAACTGAGAACTATGGAGTATTGTCGTTTTTGTGAACCCATGTAAGGGTTCGTTTGATATAACATGAATACGTGAATACTATCGACTCCTCTGTGTTATATACACTGTACAGTTTCAGTCCCTGAAGGTGAATTTCCATAATTATAAATTTCACTCGAAAAATCTAGGTCGAAAACTCCTTTCGCGATAACTAAACCGAAACCGTTGAAAAATGCACAAACATTTAGGATCAAAACTAATCAATCAACAAGTGGCAAAATTTTTTGATAGGTCCTCAACAGTTTACACTTTTATTAGGTTTCCAATTTTGTTATAAAACTATTGTTTGTATTCTTTAATGTTATTGGTTTATCTAAGAAAAAGTTAGCTATCCTTCTGACTGGTTAACCCTTTTCCAAGTGACCCGGTTCGAGTAGTGGCACTGTAAAATTAAGGCAGAAATTAAACTGATTGTTGTAGTGAAATTGGATATATTAAAGATCAAATATTTGAGCTGCGGAGGAAGATTTTGAGACAAGAATGACCATCGCAGTTATGGAAACAACTTAAGCAGATGAGAAAAAAAACCTGAAAAAGTTTACGCTTGAACGAGATTCGAACCTATTACCATTACGATACCGGTGCAGTGCTCTGGGAACTCGTAGCATACTCTTAGATGGTAAAGATATGAAAGATTATATATTTGAAGTGCGGAGAAAAAGTTTAAGACATGAAATATCATTTCAGCTATGTACACAACTTTATATGATGCCAATAATTCGGCCATAACTAATTATTCATTTTGCACGATTCGCCATGCACTTTTTAAATTTTCAGATTTGTTATGGACGGCACCAGAAATAATTAGAATGACCGAACGGCCAGTTAATGGAACACAAAAAGGAGATGTATACAGTTTCGCCATCATCCTGCAAGAATTCCATACAAGAGAAGGACCATACAGTGCCAACTACATGGAACCAGAAGGTGAGCCAAATTTTGCGTCATTTTCAAACGTGGCAGTGTGCGGGATTTTGATTCCTTAGCACCCATTCCAACAGATGTAATATATTAGACCTTTACAAATGTAACAAATGTAACAAATGTCATACGGTTGAAAACAACTGGAATTGTTATTCGATGCATTTTTTTTTTCTTCCTTTTCATTTGCCGAGAGCCCACCACGCGCGACCCGCGAATAACTGCGCATGCCTACAAGTAATGGTCTGATCATGCGTAAACGTGTTTTGCTGCAAATAATATTCTGCTCATGCGTAGTTGTGATCACGGTCTCAGTTTTGTGAAAAATGGCAGATCGCTTCCCTGAGCTTTCAGAGAGTGATTGATTTAAATATGAAAACAAACTTGGTGATCAAGTGATAAAACAATTATTGAACAAGGTTACAGCAAAATATCGTGATTTGCCAGTGTCTTGCAGATCAATCATCTTGCCTAAGACTTCGGCTTCGGCAAATAACTGACCTGCCCGCCACTGACAAATCCCGATATTTTGCGCAATCTATCTCGTGCAATACAGTCAACTCTCGTTACAGCGGACAAGCTCGGGGCCGTCGTTTAGTGTCCGTACAGGGGAGAGTCCGTAGTAACGGAGTGTGAGATAAAAAGTGCCCTTAACATGCAGTAAATAACATAGACAATGTCTGTGAAACAAGGACTATTGTGCAAAATAATGCCGAGATTCCGTAATAACGGGAGTCATTTCGAGTCAAACCTCTCTAGCATTTTCCAGGGATCTGGATTTTGTCCGTAATAGCAAGAGTCCGTGATAGCGGGGTGTCCGCAAGGTGAGAGTTGACTGTAATTGATTGTCTGCTGCCATGCATCAACGCATCGATCCTCAAAATTGACGTCTATGGTATCTCAGTCAATCGTGAGACAGTCAGTCAGACAATCAGACATTCAGACCGTCAGCCAGTCAGACAGTCAGACAGCCAGGCAGAAAGACAGTCAGACGGTCAGGCGGTCAGACAGTCAGTGAGGCAGATAGTTAGTCAGGATATCTATCAAGAAGTCTATTGATCGACTGATCAATCGATGGTTGGTCGGTCAGTCAGGCGGTTGGTCAGCCAGTCAATCACCTACATGTGCTTAGATACTCAGTCAACTATCCAGCCGTTCAATGATTCATTCATTATTCGTTTGTCTTTTGTCATTAAATATTTTTTCTCTCTTCACTTTCATCTTCAGAAGTTATAAAAAAAGTAACAGAACGCGAAATCCCGCCATTTCGTCCCACGGTGGTGAACCTCATCACAGGAGTGGAGGAGCTTAGGGAATTAATGAAATCGTGTTGGGATGAAAAGCCGGAAGCCCGTCCAGATTTTCACGATATCAAGAAATCCATGCACAGAATTCTCAGCAACAATGGCATGTAAGTTGTTTTCTCTGTAATACATCATTTTGGATAGTCTTTATAATGCCGTATAGCCTTATCCTGTCCAAACGATATTGGTCACATGTGCTCTGGTCTAGTATTGAACACCAGGGTTGTTCGAAAACTGGCGAACACTCACCCAGGATTAAAAGTTAACCGAAGTGTTCATTTGTTCATGATTTTGACCGCTTCTGTTTTGTGCTGGTTGAGATTATTCAGACCCAAAACTGAAGGACAAATTAAACAATGTAAACAAGAAACCTCAGAGAAAAGTCAAAACGGAAATCAAAATTCTCGCTATTCCTGGAGCTTTGAACAACTCTACCCGGGTTATGTCATACAGCAGGATAATAATCATACTGACCCTGTGAAATTGTGTCAACAAAATGTGCATGGAGTTTGTGTTTCCCGCATAGCTTCAGCAGAAGTACTCGAAAAAGACTTACAAAGATCCATCTACCTTGTGTTAGCTGGTAAATTATGATAAGGGGAGGTCAATCAATCAATCTTAATTTAAACACGAAAATCTTATCATAAAAATGGTCTTCCTAGGAGTCGTGTAAAAAATTACAAAGAATAACTTAAGTATATTAACAGGACTGGATTAACTAACATTACATTACATTAACTAACGAACTAATTAACTAGCGTACAATAAAAACCTATGTAATAAAACTTTCTCTATCCATGAGGGAGGTACGTTAGTCTAAAGTTTAGCGCTCACACTGGACTGCAGGACAAGCGATCCGGGTTCGGACCCTGACCAGGGTCATTGCGTTGTATTTTTAGGCAAGGCCTTTTAGCCTTGAGATGTCTCTCTCCACCCAGGGGTATAAATGGGAACTTGGACAAGCTCCGATTGTATGGACCTCCCGGCCAGACGCACGCTTGAATTATCTTACCGAACGAATCGACGACATGACTAGTCGTCCCGAGCTGGGGGATGTATGCCTTTGCGATCGAAATTAAACTAAGGTCGAATTTGTCGACACAAGTCGAACATCAATTCATTTTTTAATCGACAATTTATCTTGTAGGAAAACTAATATTTTTGACAATGTCGTATATATGATGGAGAAATATGCGGACAATCTGGAGGATCTTGTAAGTGAAAGAACAGCTCAACTGGTGGAGGAAAAGAAAAAGACTGACGCCTTATTGGACCAAATATTACCACGGTAGGTCTCAAGTAGTAATTAGATTAACTAAATTCCGCGACAAGCGTATTATTTGAGGGACCTTTCTCGAACCATTAAATGCAGGCAAAGACCCTGCTGTTTATGGTCAATCCTTCTTAATTTAAATCTTGGATTTCGGATTCTATTGTCCAAGCGTCAGCATGCTTTTCATGCTTCAGTAGCAACTTCTAAGTCTGATGACGACTGGAGGCTCAGGCTGATTCAGTAATGATGTACTGTCAAATCCATTGAGTGACTTTGGGTCGGCTGTTCAAACAAAGATACGTTATCACTACCCATCGAACATAGTAACTTTTTTTTTTTCTAAACTAAAGACCTTCTGACGGAATTGCAAGATGGCGCATGACGTGTGACGAGCTTTGCGGCCCGAATACGGCACCTGTTCGTTTTGAACATTTATAACTATGTATCTATATTCTACCAAGTACCTTATCTCAATTTTCTAACAGACTTAACTATAATATGACTGACTTCATATCTCGCGATCTCGAACCATATATTTCTCGTTCCGCCCTCTGACCATGGCGCGCGCGCACGCGGGCTGGCGTGCGCTGTGAAGGGGAACTTTGCTGCCCGCTGTACAGCGGAAATACAAAAAGTACAAAGCGATTTTCAAAATGGCGGCTGAAAATGCTATTTTGAATGCTACTAAGGCCCCGCGTCCTCTACATAATGAAGTCGATAATTTCTTTTTGTTTGAAGAAGAATTGAAGCAGCCCTCGCTTCAATTATTGAAAAACACCGTCTCGGCCAAAAATCTTTTAAACGAATTCCAGCGTCAGCACTTCTCGGACCCTCTCGAAGGAGAAGTCAAGATTTGGCTAAAGATGCTCCATAGGCGCCTCAGTCCAAGAATCAAGGCCCGCACTAATTGGACCGTGGAGTTCAAACGGGCGATGTCCTGGGAATTTTCTCTTTAATTTTACAGAGTGTGAAAAAGGCCGGTTCCGCTTATGGTGTTTCGCACAAGGAAGAGAAGCTCCCAGATAGGATGTGTAGAAAATGAAGACCGAAGACCGAAGACCCACTGGTCTAAAACGAAGACCCTGTGGTCTAAAACAAAGACCCACTGGTCTAAGACTAAGACCCACCGGTCTGAAACCTTTTTTTCTTCAGGGAAAGAATATACACTAAGCTAAATTGCTCTCATTTCTGAAACGCATAAATAAAAATGTCATCTGAGTGCGCGACAAACTTGACAGTTACTTTATCTCAAGAGAAACATCAAGAAAAACGGCCTCTGGGACCAGGGTACTGCTTAGCTCGGATAACTTGGCAAAATCTCGAATCAGTCTGTTCTCTCGGTCACAATAGATTATAACTTTGGGATGTGTCGAAAACGAAGCTATACCTTATCTTTGAGGCCTTTCAAATTCTTTTTCCAACAGCTTCATTGATTTTTACAGCTGCAAAGTTGTTTCATCGAGTGATATAAGAAAGAACGAAGCCTAAAGCTTCTGCTGCTTTGCATCCATAATGGTGGTTGTTTTGAAACTTTGAATTTACTTCATGTAAGTATTGCAAAATGTTTACATTTTGTGATGTCTTTCATGAAGCAAAACAGTACAAAAAACGCACTCGCGAGAATGCACAATATGGACTGGACATCATCTTTTAAGTTCTTAGCTGCTGCTAATAAGTACTATCACTATCTTAAGGTTCCTAGCTGCTGCTAATAAGTACTAACACTACAGTGTATCTTAAAGTTCCTATAGCTGTTGCTAATAAGTACACTAACTTGACCTTCCTGGCTGCTGCTAATAAGTACACTATCTTAAAGTTCCTATAGCTGCTCCTGTGAGTACACTATCTGAAAATTCGTAGCTGCTGCTAATATGATATAATGTAACTTAAAGTCAGTTAGGCTGTGTACAGATTTAAGATTAATTACAAAAGCTGTGGAGCGATCTTTCTGTCCTTTACACTTTGCTCAATAAGTTTCCAGATTGCGTCTCCACAGAAAAAGCAATTAGCTTCCTCAGGAGATGCCTTTAGCAGACCACAATAGCAATAAGATGGATCACTGAATACCCTTTCTGGGATGTAGGCTACATTTTTGCTTGCAGCTTCTGGCTGCTGAAAACCGTGCAAAGGCAGCCAAATCAGCATCACATGATTTTTATTTGTGTCTAAATATTTCAACTTATCTGTTTTGATATGTTGTGTTTTCACTTAATTATTTTCAGAAGGATATGCTTTGCTTCTTGCCCATCCATTGTTACCATCCCCAACCCCTGACCATACTTTTAAAGCACTTGATGACAATGAGCGGGGACAATGTGACCCAATGTCCAGACAGTAGGATTTACAGAACTTGGCAATGACAATGAATTTCCTTTAAAATACTCATGGCAAGCAATAGAAAGCTGATCAATCTGGCCTAATGTTATCTCAAATCTATTAAAAAGAGAAACACAGTCCCTCAACCTCACACCTAACTAAGCTAAAGCAAGAACTGTTTCACATTCTTTCCTGGAGTCACTTTCACAACTTAGCCACTTGATTAACCTCATAAAGTTATGACAAAAACAGCGGGAATCATTTCCAGTAAATCTAGGGTGCTTGGTCTTTACTTCTGTTTGTAAAGCTGTAATTACCTGTGCAACAGGGCTCTCAGTTGGGAGCTCTGAAAACTTTTTACAACCAGCTGGTAGCTTAGATTTTCTTATAGCTTCTGCCAAAACTGCTTTAATGAAGTACTGCCAAGCATTGTTCTTTAGATGAAGGGGTTCCACATGAGCTTTATCAATGTAAGAACCTAAGACAGGCAAAAATTCCTGTCTACTATTTTGCTTGGTAATGTAATCTATAATTTTAGATCTCTTTGTTTTCTCAGAAAGTTTTTCTACTGCTACTCTTCTTAATGCTTTAACCTTGTCGGCAACATTTACTCTTTGCTGGTAATTCCATGGCTTCCACGTGTTTGAACTTTCAGTTCCAAATGTACCCTTCACATCCCTACAATCAGCTAATGAAACATTTGCGAAGGGTGAGAAACACTTAGCACTAATAGTTAATTCACCTGCCAATATGGCAGGCATCTTCATGTCATTTGGCAACTCCTCCAGCTTAAACCTACATTTAATACCTTCAAATTCACATTCGGCTCTTTCTAACCCTGCGAGTTGAGGTAATAATGACCTCACATATTTCTTTGTAACAGGAGAGCTTTCATCACAGTTGGCACCAAAAATTAGAAAGTTATCATAACTGGATGCCACCCTTCTTCCAACATTAAGGAAACTGACTAAGAAAGACTTTGGGCTTTCATTTTTGCCGAATGGGCATCCGTCATCACCAAGAGCAATTTGAAAAGTGCCTGTTGATTCTGCAAAGACTTTCAAGCTTTCTTTGCTATTCTCAGAAAGATAAAATTTGGCAAGCATTGGAAGGTATTGTCTTAAGTCTCTGTATGCACCATTCTCTGGGTTTTCAGTTTCTAAGCCCTCTAGATGGTCTGGGTCAATTTCATGAACTGTCCCAATATCAATCTTTTTTAATTGTTCTAGAAGGTCACTAAAAGTGAGCAGCTTTGGAACCTTACAGCCTTTAAAAATTGAAATGCTTGTTCTTTTTCCTCGTTTACTTTCAAATGATTCCATTGAAAGCATCAGTCTAACACTTTTGTACTTTCGTTTTCCCATTACACCACTTGCATAATATGTTGCAATACTTCTTACAGTGTTGTCATCTGACTTTTCAAATTCTAATACACTCTTCTTATACTCTTTAGAAACTACTTTGTTAGTCAGCTGCTTGTTCCCTGACACATATTTTGTTAAAGTATCTAATCTGCATCTTTTTTGCAAAGTGTCAAACAATCCATCGAAAGTGGCTGAAGAATGTTCATTTGTGCTTCCTCATGAAATTTGGCAGCAGCTTCAGTGGTCTCATGCCTTCTTCTCCTTGCAGTTCTTGGTCCCAGTAATGATTCCCCTTTTACAAGTACAGTGGGGCTTCTTGTTCATGTCTGAGATACTTAACCCTGTGACTAAAAATATATAAAATCTCACGTTAAAGCCCTGGGCTTATATAACTTCACAAGGCAGTTTGGTTGGGCTTTTAACCGGTGGGGGCATATATCCTGGGAACTTTTTGGGGGGATTTTATGGTATTACTAAACTAGACACTGGGTAGTAACACATTCATTTAAATTAGATATGGTTGGATGATACTAAAATTGTAAACAAAGTAGATCTGAACACAATAATTGTATTTAGCCAAATCTTGCATTTGATATTCTGATGTTTATAATTTAGAGACACTGTCATTTATGACAGTCTTTGACCAACCAGATGAACACAGGCACACGCTCAGGTTTCTTGCCCAGGCACTGCGCTGTCTGGCACTGGCTGTCATTCTGGCACTGGCTCTGTGTTAAGTGGCTAGTTCACCAAAATTAACTTGCAAAAAATGAGGCATTTTGGGTAGGTATTTAACCAGTGGGAGCTTATATCCATGGGGGCTTTAACGTAGGGTTTTATGGTATTGCTCAACTAGACACTGGGTAGTAACACATTCATTTTAATTAGATATGGTGTGATGGTACTAAAATTGTAAACAAAATAGATCTGAACACAACAATTGTATTTAGCCACATCTTACATTTGATATTCTGATGTTTATAGTTTAGAGACACTCTCATTTATGACAGTCTTTGACCAACCAGGTGAACACAGGCATATGCTCAGGTTTCTTGCCCAGGCACTGCGCTGTCTGGCACTGGCTGTCATTCTGGCACTGGCTCTGTGTCAAGTGGCTAGTTAACCGAAATTAAACTTGCAAAAATATTTTTTTCTCTTAATGTTATTATCAAAAATTGGCATAAAATTGAATATCATCCAGCCACTGAATAATGCAAACCTACAGACTTAGTCAGAAGTTGTGCCCAGCAGATTTTTGCCGCACACTTACTGGCAAAACAACCACAATGAAGAATCAAGAGTATACTCAACAGGAATATTTTCCAGTTCACGTGTTATGTCCTTGCATCGTTCCCTGAGTGTGGCCAACTGAAAGCATTAATTATACAACAAGTTATTTCTTAAGCACTGATTGGTTAATTTTTACTGTCATACAGTTAAATTTTAATTGTTATTCATATCTTTTTATCTTAAATTAATTTTTATTATTTTTATTTAATTAATCTAGAATAAGCGGTTAATGACCCACCTAGATTAGCACTTGCTATCTGCGGGCCAAATAACCTGTAATTTTCAAAATGAAAGAAAATAAAGATTATCATTATTGTTGTTGTTGTTGTTAATTTAGGGTTCAGACACACAAAAAGCTGGTGGGGGAGTATTTACAAATGTTTGTGTAGGGAGGTACAGCAGCGATGCACAAACCATTACCTTGCTTATAATGTCAAAACTGAATTGCAAGCCTCCCGGTACATGCACTGCCACCACTTGCCTATAATGGTGTCTTACAAAATTCTGGAATATTCGAAATATGACACTTAAACAAAGCACCAATGCTGAATTACTTAAAAAGGACAAATTAAATATATCATCTCACCTTTTCCTGGGTTCGTTGGACTATTTTGTACTCTGCCTGTGGCTTGCGATTTTCACTCACAGCTTTCTCTCTTGCAACCTTCCAGGCTTTAATGAATTGAGCCACGTTAAAGCGCGTGTTCTTTCTGCGCGACATCCTCAAAATTAACTCATAAAAAACTGAGAAAAGAAAGCCAAATCACGAAAGCAAAAATCATGGAGTTTCTGTCAAGGTCTTGAAGTTTCTCTTCGTAGCAAAATTCCTCGGATAAGTAGAAATGCTTAAAAAACTATCCGGGCCAAAAATACGATACGAACGACAAAAAACCTTACCATCTCTTTTACTTTTTCCTCGGCAGTCTCTCTCTAAGCGATTATCGAAGAAAGTATTGCATGTTTGGTACCAAAATGACGGGAAAACTGTGAACTTTCAGTACATTCGAGATTTGGCGCCTTTGGACTGATCCCAGGACCGCTCGGAGGTTTTTATTGCCAGGCGTATACTCAGTTGCAGTCTTCTCTTAAAAAACACGGTCACAGACGCCATATTTGTGGCTAATGAGTGTTCTGCTTCATGGCGCGCGCCAGCCCGGCGAAAAAATAGATTTCATTTAATTTCGCACTAACGATTTATCCATTTGATTAGGTTATCTTCTCTTTAGACAAGTGGGTTGTGATCTTTTTTTTACGTGTACTGAACTATAAAGTGACAAATTCATACGTTTTTCTTTTCAGCCCCGTTGCAGAGCAGCTTAAAAGGGGTAAAGCAGTGGAGGCGGAGAGTTTTCACGAGGTTTCAATTTACTTCAGTGACATTGTGGGATTTACCCAACTGTCTTCAGACAGTACACCAATGCAGGTATGGGCAGGATGTTGTGAGATTACAATAGGTCGTTTTTGTCGTGGTTCTCCTGTTTGCTAGACTATTCATGGTTCGAGGGCGATCGCGAGTGTGCGGGCTTCTGGAGTGAACAGTGTACGAGTTGGTTAAAATGGTCGCTTTGGTCAGCCTTTAAAAACTAGTTGATAGTGTGAGATAACAAGAACCATAGTCGACTGAATGATTGATTGATTTCTGAACGACCGACTGACTGACAGTGCCTGACGGACGGCTGAACAGAAGGTTTATTGATCGCTTGACTGATCGATTGATTGACTGACTAACTTACTAACTGACTGACTGTTTGATTAATTGACTGATTAATTGATTTACTGACTGATTGAGTGATTGATTGATTGATTGATTGATTGACTGATTATTTCGGTGTGATCCAGAAGTTACAATTTCCTTTGTTTTGTCTTTTGTAAGGTTGTGACGTTTTTGAATGCCCTGTACACATTGTTTGATGACATCATACGAGAGTTTGACGTGTATAAGGTAAGATGTCCACTTCGTTTTTAAAATGCATTCTTAGACTAATATGCTTTATCATAATTTTCTTCTCATTTGATCGACAATTTATTTACTTAATAAAGAGCGAAGAATAAACAAACAAACAGACTGATAGTTCGCAGATCAAACGATTGTTTCAGTGTGTTATTTGATCAATGATTCATTTTTCATGCTTGGGTGGGACCACATGTGTTACAATTACCTCAACTCGGTTTTTTTAGGTGGAGACAATTGGTGACGCATACATGGTTGTGTCAGGGCTACCAATCAGAAACGGTCACAATCATGCTGCTGAGATAGCAGGCATGGCCCTTCATCTGATCGAAGGAGTTAAACAGGATTTCAAAGTTCCACATAGACCTGATCATAAAATTGAATTGCGTGTTGGTATACATAGCGGTAAGTCCACGTGAAGTCTCCTGGACTTGACAGGTCGAAATAAAAATTCCTCCAACTGGTTTCTATAATTTTTATATAGCACAAGTGGGGAGAATCTACACTCACGGTTTGATCAGCGGTATTGCACTCTGTCTAACTCTGTGACATCAAAATCACCGTCAGAACTCGTCAATAGTTCATTGAGTTTAAAGAGCTTTAGCGAAATCATTGTTGTATTTTAATATAATAAACAATCTCACGATTTTATGTCACTTCTTTTCTTAGTTTTAGTTCGATTGAGAAGATGTATAAAATAAATGAATAAATAAATAAATAAATAAATAAATAAATAAATAAATAAATAAAATAAATTACTTTCTGATCAAGTGTCAAATGTATTTAACTCTGTTGTGCTAATTAGGGACACTTTAAATAATTAAACAAATATTGCCAAACAGAACATAAAGTATTAGAAATCCCAGCTGTTGGGAAGCTGACCAGTTGGCTAGTTACACAACGCGGTCTAAGGGTTGAACGCGGGATTACCGAGAGGAGGAGAAACGGAACTCGCGGAGTTGAACTCGGGGTTACCGAGAACAAATCCAGATAGTGGTAGGGTGGAGGATACTCGACGCTGTTTTATCAGATTTCCAAAAACCTTGAAGTTCGTCAATGATACTTCGCTCAGTGTTTTGAAATGTGGTGAAACAATGACTCTCGTTTTTGACATGTTGGCATACTGAACCACCCACAGATTTCTTCTTTGAACTACTCAGCTTGATCTCTACTTCCTCGAATCAATTGACGTAGAGGCAAGGAAAACGTTGCAATATTGTGACAATGATCTCTATTAATATTGTTGGTAGGTCCTGTGGTCGCGGGCGTGGTGGGCAGCACTATGCCTCGTTACTGTTTATTTGGTGATACTGTCAACACAGCTTCTAGAATGGAATCCACTGGAGAGGGTAAGGATCTTCGATAAGATGTACATATTTTTTTAATTGAATTGCTTATAGCACACTGACAATCATACAACCACACAATTTACTTACTTGACAAAATACTACACTTTTACAATAACAGCAGTAACCAAAAAAGTATTCCGTTACGCAACTTAGGATGTCCTAACAATAAATCATTGGCATTAAACATTTACCTTTCACAACTTACAATACCTAAAAACACAATAACAACTGGATCGTTGATACTGCACTTAGCTTAGCGCGGTTTTACTTGAGTGTCGAACGTAATTCGCGTTTGCTTTGGCTTGCATTTAATCTCTACGCTAAGAGATTGGCTTAAAGCGCTTGTACCACTTTATCATCCAATCAGAAGTAAAACCAAAACCAATCCTGGCTTGCTCGCACACGTTTTTCTGCGCTTTGTGACGGCTACTGTACCTGATTCAAGTTATGATTGGTTCATTGAATTGTCTGTGTCGCTTGCGTTTGATCGTACGGCATTCAACTGAAAGCCACTATAACTAATAAGGAAAGAATCAGTGATTTAGTAATTAATCCCGTAGATGTTGTTGTCTTTTCTTTCAGCAACCAATAAAGGGCCTTAACTCTCCCTGATGTTTCGTCCATGCACGCTTTCATGTTTTGGCACTGTATCGATGTTTTTCAGCCCTCTTAACATTTTCGATGCACGATAAATTTTTCAGGTTTGAAAATTCATATCAGTGAAGCTACGAAGTCAATTCTTGAAACACTAGGAGGCTTTATGATCGAAGAACGAGGGGAAGTGTTCTTAAAAGTAAGTAATCGGAAGAATATCATTTTACTTTGTGTACGGGACATGTGCACTAACATTGACCATGTGCCATGCAAGACTTCCTGTAAGCGAGCCTGTTTTACTCCAATACCGAGAAAAGGACATCATTCTGATCAACTGAAAGGTTCATATATCTCTGATAGATTATTCTGTTAATTTTGTTTGTTTGTTTGTTGTTTGTTTTGTTTTCTTGTTTGGTTCGTCTCTAGCTAGATATTTTAACAAACTCTTTGGTACGTATTGAAAAAGCCCGATGTGTCATATCTTCGCCGTTCTTTCTGCCTTTCATTTGCTAAACATGGTCGAGAAGCTACCTCATCCAAGTGCCTGCTGTTAGTCTCTCCCATACTCCTCGCAGCCTAGGGATGTTTTCAATGGGAACGTTATGGATTCTCTATCTTTTTCTTTCTTGTTTTTAGGGTAAAGGAACAGTGAAAACCTACTGGCTTATCGGATGTGCACGCCGCACACCACATCGTCACCGGCGTTCATTCAGACGACTTAAAGGACCTATGGAACAATCCTCTGGTTTCCTTGGAATATTGGAGCCCCCACCCTCCCCCTGCAGATTGTCAAGGACTTCATCTCTGAGGAGAACTATGAAAGCTATTCAGTGCGAAACACCTTTATCGAAAGGAAGACACGTTGTTGATGTTATTGACAAATCGGACGATATGACTCAAACGTCTCTTTGATATCTTGATGAACACAGATTTTAAATTTATATTTTTTTAGAGATGCCAACGAAGCATGCTTTTTGAGGCGGAGTTTCCTGGCATTTGATAAATGCCAAACAAGATGCGGAGTGCATTAAATTATAGACACTGGATGTGTTTCTGACGATAGAAACCTAAAAACTATGCAAGAGCACAGTTGTGAATCTCACTGGTGAAAAATGAATATCAATAACACAAAAATTCGTATAAACTCTTTCTTTACCGTTATTGCTATTAGACTAAAACGAAATCGTGTTTGTTAAGAAAATATTTCAAGTTTGTGCCGTGATAACGAATTTGCTCCAGAAAAATGCTATATTTCTCTGGGACAGGAACTAACATAATAGTCCGTCGGTTCTCGTCGAGTTTCAGCCATGTAGATATAGTCATTGACATCTTTAAACAGTCTGTCAAAAAATTATTCGCTCTCTAAGGCATGTCATAGATCCTTAGCCACGTTTCAGTGTAATAAGAATTAAACGTTTAAACGATAAACGATTCCCACCGACTTCTGTTACAGCCCGATCCCATGCATGATCGTACCCAAATTTACAATTAACCAATCAGAAGCTGTGTCTACTGTCCCATACTGTCCCGTGCCGTGTCTACTGTCCCGTGTTTACATATCAGGTCACTGACCTGATATGGCTACGATATCGTGCTCACTTGGCTGAATTTTGGCACGGTCTCGCCATGGTCTCACCATGGGTATGTTGGCTCGACTTCGGCTCGCCAAAATATGAACCATGGCTCGACCAAACTCGCCTGATATGCCGCTGAAACCGGTAGATCGTTTTCATGTGACGTCATCCCAAAATCCAAACATAAGGGCCACAAACGTTTTTATCTTCATCAGGCATAACGGAATCTAAATTTATATCTGTTTACAACTTTTCAGCTCAATAGCAAGCTTCGTTTGGAAAACAGCGCATTTTGAATTTAAGAGTTATGGCGGTGCGTGACATAAAGCTTCGATCTCGTTTGTCGAAACAGATACACTTATCAAGTGATTTTTAGCTTATTTAGGAGTTAAAGTATTAGGAAAAGTGCTTGTGTAAATGTTTGTTAGTTCAGGTCAGAAAAATGAGTCGACTAGATGGCAAAAGTAAGTTCAAGATGTTTACACTATTTTCTGGCCGTCATATTGGTGGACCACACTGCAAAACATTTCGACGAATATCTGAAGTTTGGGAAAACGCAGAGTCCTAAAACTTGGAGAAGTGTCTTCTTTGTCAATCTCCTAAAACATTACAAATTCTTGACTACATCCATTGAACAGTTTTCGATTTATTTTTTCGTTTCGTGACAGCGAAAACGATCTGTTAGGTATAATGAACGTAATATTTCTTTTCACGCAATTTCTTATAGTTGCAATTTCCCTCAAGCATTTATTGTTGTGTTATTTATGGTTTGGGCAAAACCATAAGGAAGGGAACGAAACTGCGAGCGAGTGCGAAAAAATCATAAAAAGCAAGGAGAGGGAGTGGGGCAAGATTCCTTTCCTGTCTACTTTCTCCCACTTCTCCTTTTATTTTGCTCGCCCCTTCCCCACTTCTCCACATTTTTTCGCACCGCAGGGGCGCTCGTTTGCTCGCTCACTTGTTCGTTCTCTCCCTGGAAAATGGAAAGGAAACATCTGCTCTGCAGGCTAATCCCGTCATCTGTACAAGGCTTAAAGATCTTGATGTAGTAAGTCTCGAGAAATGCTAATAGCGACCAATTGTCATTAAGGTCAATGACTTCAAAGTTACATTGTCAGTTCACTCCATCCACAGTTATAAACGCAGTTCACGCTAACTTTAAGGTCATTGACCACAATGACGATGGCTGGGATCACATTCAGTCAATGATGTTCCCAAACAGTTCCCACTGATAAATGCTAAGCAACAACAGAACTGGCAGAATGCGCAGAAAGTTTCATGCGATTTCTCATTCACCCTCACACCGCGAAACTTCTATGGGATGCTAGTCCATCGCAGGGTCNCCCCCCGTGGCATTAAATTTGCCGGTACTCATTTATACACCTGAGAGGCACTGTGAGAGTTTAGTGTCTTGCCCAAGAACATCAGTAACACAATGTCCCCGACCAGGACTCGAACCCGGACGGCTCAATCCGGAGGCGCGTGCGCTAACCATGAGGCCGCCGCCCCTCCCGAGGGAACCAGTAGAGACATTAAAATAGTCATAAAGAAGACACGCAGAATGCAAAAGGCAACAAAACGTTTAGTTGTGAAGGAATAAAGGAAATCGTATTAAGGAACGTAAAGGGCAAGTGTACCCGATTCCATGAGAGGACCCACAGTGGGGAACTCACGAGTTAGCGAACCATTTGAGGCATGAAAATATCGCTGCTAAATATCACCAGACGCTCAGTCGATCCGAATTAATTTAATTTAATTTGGTTCCTTAATTTTTGTTCAATTTAATCCTTACTCTACCTTTAGAAGACCAGTACCTCCACGGATGTATGTATTGCTATATATTAAAAAAACATGGATTCCTCATTGACGGAGACACTAATAGCAAAAAAAGTTATACATGTTAGATTATTTTTACATATTTACAACGGGTGTGAAGGAGAAAGCAATGTTTTAGAAATGGAAGATAGTAATTTATATTTTCTTCTCAGCTCCCGAAGAGAACAAATAGAGATTCTGCTTTAATTTTATTAAAGCTGCACAAACTGTATATAATTCAATAGTGCTGCATTTTCCGATTAAAATTTACAGCACCCTTTCGTCGTCAAGGCGTTAAAAGATAATAATAATAATAACAATAATAATAATGATAATGATAAATAAAAGAAAGAAGTTGAATCAAGGAAGTATATAAATGTCTAAAGGCAATAAAGAGAAAACTCTTTTTGAAGAGCTTCAGTTAGAGATGAACAATTTTTTTCAACAAAGATCTTTTGAAACTGTTGGTGTCCAATTCACTAAAATGTTCTGGAGATACATCTTCGTTGCCAGTGCACTCACTAAAGGACAGCATTCATGTATTAATCCTATATCCATCGAAGGAATGAAACCTGTATGGCTGCCGGATGGCTGAAAATCCACGCAAGATTAGTGAGAGCAAAGGAATGGCACGCCAGCCAAAACTACAAAACTAAAATCTAAACGTTTTATCTCTAGCGGATATCAGGGCTGGTACAGAGTCTGTTGAATGACAGGTCATCGTAAACTGATCTGCAAAGCATCTTCAACCTCCACATACGGGGAGTTTTAGTCGCATACTCCAAACCGGTTGGATTATTTCTCTCGGCGCCTAAAGTAGATCGACCCAGGAATCGTGTCGAATGTTGATGGTGAGTTAGAAAATTATTGACAACTCCAGTTCTTTTGCAAGCGGGTAGTCACGTAACACAATGTGATAGTTAGTAACGCAACTCTTCTAGGGAAAACTAGGAATATGGATTACGTAGAATCTTTAGACGCTTGTGATAGAGTGCGAGCTTTGCTTCCTCGGATGCATATGGTTGTCTTCCGGGTCGTTGATTACAATTTTGACTGGAGGTTTATTAATTGAGTTCGCAGACGCTTCTTTAAGAGATCTTCGTAATGACGAGGAACGTGTGATGAAGGATGACTGTGGGTCTACGCCGTCACCGGTGCTGCCGAACAAGTGTATTCGACGATTGTAGAGCCTCTTTGGCGAAGGAAGGGGTCGTGGTCGTTTTCTTTGCACGAAATCAGTCAACCAGAATGTCCTGACGTTTCCCTTTCCCTTTAAAAGGAACGAAAACAAAAGTTAAAAAAAACTTACAAAGGAGAACCTAATTAACTGGCTGTAAACAGCTCCCTTTTCAGCTGGAGGTCACGTACATTCAGTACACTAACGACACTTCACGCCGGTTTAAGAGAACCAGAATTTGTTGCTTGTGTGTTGTTGTTGCTGTTGTTGTTGTTGTCGTTGTTGCTTTTGTTGTTATTGCTGGTTATCGTCCTTGCTCCGAGGATTATAAATGATCTCCCTTGTCTATTAACCTCCCTAGCTCCTCTTATGGTATTTCAACAGAAATGCCCCCAAAACCTTATTGAGCTTTGAACATAATGAGACATTACTTGTTTTACGTGATGGAATGCTAAGAAAAAAAAATGGTTATATGTCTTACCTTCAAAAACACTTCTCCCCTCTCTACAATTGTGAATCCTCCAAGTTTTTCCAGGATCCTCTTTGTGGCGTCACTGATATGGATCTTTCGGGCTGAACAGATGAAGGAAAAATAATAATTCTAATTTTTAATCTATCCCGAATAGACCATTCCCGCATTCCAACAAACAATAGCGCCAAGTCGAGGTCAGGGTGGACAAAAATACAGCAAATGTATGAAAATGTCCACCCTAACCTCGCTCTGGTACTATTGTTCTTACACACTGAAGTGGAATGCGAGAAAGGTCTATTGTTGCTATAACTTTCTGCCAAGGATACCCATGCCACAAAGATATGGCACACAGGAGTTAAGTTCCTCGAGCTAGTAACAACCAACCGAAAGTAAAGTTCTTAGAATCGAAAATCCCGAGGGTATACATTACGTAGCTAATTTCCGCAAGTACAGAACGTACATTGTAGTGACCTCAAACCGGCGTAACTTGACTTGTTGTAAAGAACAATAAGAATACAATCCAAAAAATGCAAGCTGTGCCAAAATTACCTGATGTTTGCATTAGATGACTATTTAGGAAAAATGCCGAAATATGTTGCCATTTTCTGAAATTCAACAATTTCTCCCAAGATGAGAGGGAGTGCGGGCTCCTTTCCCGAATAGCGGCTGGTAATCGAGCCCAGTCAATGGCCGGACCATTCGAAACAGTGATAAGTAAAGAATGTATGCATGTACTTGTCATTCGTTAAAGGCGTGTTATTTTAGTAAATAAAACAAAACACACACACACAAATAAGACATGTCTGCCAAGTCCGAACGTAAAGTGGATTCGTTTCTTTCTTAACCTTACTGTTGTTGTTACAATACGAATGCGAGCTCTTACCTTCCCCGTTGGATTCCATTCTCGAAGCTGTGTTGACCGTGTCACCAAACAGGCAGTAGCGAGGCATGGTGTTACCAACTACACCAGCAACGACAGGTCCTGAAGGCATGAGAAATTACAATTTTAGAGAACTCTATGAGGAGGGTTTAGCTAGAACATAATTAATAGAGGGGAATGGTTATGAAACCCGGCAAACATCAAAGGAGCAAACAAAGATTTCAAGATTTATGTTGCAAGGTCCACGACAGTGCACAATCTTTTGCCTTGAGCTCATACACTATGCATGAATTACGTGTCCAAAACGGTTCTATTGGTTACTTCCTCAGTACGGAGTAAACAACTATTGTGTTTTGTGCACGGTCAAGGCCAAAAATGCGAACAAAAACATACAACAAAGAACTTTGTCAGGTTTCGTAACCAATCCCGCCTCTATTAACTATGGCTAGAAAAAGTAAAACTGCTTACAACTATTATTCGCAATCTCGTAACTACTTCCAGTCTTAACCGTGTCGTTATTTCTTTCCTTCTTTAGTGTCTACCTGGCGGGTGAAATATTGTTACGTTGATTTTAAGGTAAAGTTGAAACCTTCGGCCTATTCTATATCGTTTCATTGGCCTCTTTATGGAAAGCCTATTGTGGAACCTGGCCGGTCATCCACACATAACAAAGAGGATCTTAATGGGGTTAACCGTTAACCGTAAAGCGGGCTACAAATTGAGTCGTTAGGCGTAAAAATTGGAAAACATTTAACAGTTAGCCGCAAAAAATGTTAACCATTGAAATAATTCTAGTTTCTGCATTTTTTGTGTCTTGTGGTGCGGCTTGGCATTGATAGTTTACACATTTTTTCTAATGATTGAAAAGGATACTTAACAGGACTCAACAAAGAGCTTTAATTTCCACTTAAAAATTGTTTTTCAGCTAACTCACCACTGTGAATGCCTATACGAAGGTCAAGTTTGTGGTCTGGCTTGTGACGAACAACAAAATCTGTGTTGACAGCGTCCAATAAATGCAATGCCATCCGGGATATTTCTCCCGCGTGGTTGTGACCATTTTTTATTGGCAGACCGGAAACCACCATGTAAGCGTCACCAATTGTCTCCACCTGAGGTATTAAAGCGGCAATCTCAGTTTTGTTATTTTACTTTGTCTTGCAATTGTTGAGTTCAAATACTGTCTATGTTTACCTCCTAAGGAGAGCATGAGAAGATTGCCCAAATACCCTTTATTCTATAGACAAGAGTGTTTCACTGGAAAATACACCTCTCGACACTACATCCAGGACCTGAGTGGTGTATTTTCCATGTCTTCACTAGTGATTGTATTGATGACGTCATTTCCCGCTTTTTCACGGTTGTTTGAGCAAACAGTTAGTTTTTCTCTATGACAAAAAGAAAATTACACGGTGTCTTGAATATATGAATTTTATTTCCTCGATCGTGTTTAAAAAAAAACATTTTACTCGCTGCGCTTGTTCATAAGTATAGTTTTTACCTCTGAAAATAAAATTCAAATCTTCGCGAAGCCGTGTAATATCCTCTTTATATTAATGGTAGATTCAACCGTAAAAAAATAATAATAACCACAGACATCAGTTTTCAATTCAAATTTTTTATCTTTCTCTTGACTTTTCCCGGATAAAATAAAATTTCCCTAACCAAATAATTTCAACTCTGCGTTAGTTTTCACTAGTGACAACCCGACAACCATCTTTTCATAATACTTTCATACTCAACCCGTTTATTCAGGAATTCACTCCAGAATCAAAACCGTTTTCTGCACCTGAATAAAACACTGGTAATCGTGTCAAAATACAATGAGAGGAACGTTTCATTACAGAAATATATTCTCTCTTTTAATCCCTCTAAATACAGCAGGTCCCGGTAACAACTGTCCGCCTTGTAGTTAAGTGGAGAAAAGGAAAGATTATGCCCGAAGAGACTTTCGATTGAAACTTTTTTTCCGTACTAGCCCCTCTATTTGGTCAAGTAAGTCTCACCTTATACACGAAATATTCGCTGATGATGTCATCACATAGTGTGTAAAGATCATTAAGAAGCGTCACAACCTGAGAAAAGAAGACATCTTTTTCAGACTGTTACGGTCAGAACGTTGAGATTGGGATTGAAAGGTCCTGGTTCGAACATGGCTGGCTTCCATGCCTTGTGTTTTTGGCAATCCAGAGCTCTAGCTTGAGGTCAAGTTGGTTGGGTATTTATGGGTGTTAACGGACCAAGGGGCAGTTGAGATCCATAAATACGCAAAAAAGAGAGGCCAATATTTAGCTATCTTGACCGAACAGGCTTGGTCAAGCTTAATTAGTTACATGACAAAGAGAGCACCGTATTCTTGCAGGGCACAGCAGGTAATCCCAAGAGGGCAAGATAGCGTCATCTTGGCCGCTAGGAAGCCAGTCGCTGAGAGGGTTTTGGTTAATCACGACCATTCGCGAAACAAGTCATATAATATTAACGGGCACTAATAATAATAATAATAATAATAATAATAATAATAGTAATAACTTTATTTAAGTGTCGAATGTATTTAGCACTATTGTGCTAATTGGGGACACTGTAAATAAGTAACCAAATATTGCAAATAGAAAATAAACTATTAAGAATCCCAACTGGTGGGAGGCTGACCAGTTGGCTATTTACACAACGCAGTCGAGGAGTTGAACTCGGGACTACCGAGAACAAATCCAGATAGCAGTAGGGTGAACGATTTGAACGAGGGATCACCAGATTTCAAATCCAGCGCCCTAAACCACTCGGCCACGCTGCCTCCCTTCCAGGTGTAACTGTGACGAACAAAGCCTAGCATCTCACTGGAGGAATAGCAATATTCTTAGGAGCTTGATGCCTTGTTACTTTGCCCCATCCAGGAGACGTTTCTTGTCTCAAGGTCCAACAGTAACTCAAGTGTTATGTAAGTACTTTTTACATCATGAAGATACTATACCTGCATCGGCGAGCTCTCAGAAGATAGTTCTGTAAATCCAACGATATCGCTAAAATAGATTGAAACGTCATCAAAGTTCTCTGCTTCGACTTGTTTTCCTTTTTTCAGTTGTTCTGCAACTGTTCTATAGTACAGCAAAAAATATTGTGGAAGTATAAGTATTATTGATGGACCTTTCTCGCCTTACGAAAACAAAAAATTAAACAAACAAGGAATACACGTAGAAAACCCGCTGCATGCAAAACATTGATGGGATAAAGAGCCAAGAGTGCCAAATTGTCGAACAAGCAGCTCAAATTTCCAGAATTTGTCCGGCTGTAAATCAAAACGGAAACGACCCCTGGATAAAGCCATTCTGTCAGGACATCGTTTGGTCTATCTAGCTCGTCCTCAGTTGCCCTGGCGTCGAAAAACCATTATTGATATTTTTACATGACAGTGACTCCATTCTGCCACCAAAACGAAGTTTCACGAGCACAACGAACGACACGTTTATTTTACAAATGCAAAGACGAAATCATAGAATAGGTACCTAGGCAATATTTTATAAAGAAGATCCTCGGTTTCTCTCTTTGCCTCTCTCAGTTGACCCGTCTTTTCAGTAACAATATCCTCAAGATTGTTCGCGTAATTCTCCATCATATACATCATACTATCGAAGATGTTCGTTTTCCTGTTGTAAGAAAGAAGAAACGTAAACTTCAATTCAATTCAATTCAATTTAAACTCTCACAAACAGTAATTTCACAGAGGTGTCAGAAAAAAAAAGAGAATTCATATAGATATTTACAGATTACATATAGAAGACGATAAATAGCAGTAATGAAATAATTTACAATTGTGATTAAAAAATAGTGTTCAAGAGAGAAAGAAAAGGAGATAAAGGAAGACAAATAGTTTTAATACAAAGTTGATTGTGTGGAGTTTCGGACACCTAAATAGTTTATGGAACTAATCGAGTAGGTGCCCCAAAGTTAAATAGATAATTTAGGCTAAAAGCATTTCTTCAAGATCTAACTACAAAGAAACTGATTACATTTCAGCTTAAGAACTAGTAATATTATCATAACTGTCAATAATTTTTTTATATAGTTTTACGAAGTACTGTGGAAAACGGAGACTTTTTCTGTAAAGAGTCAGGGTAATCAAAAATTTGCAGACTGGGATTAGAGATACATTGCATGCGTGCGACGAATTTGTAAGGACAGCCTGACTTCCCAAAAATTTTCAAGGCAGAAACAACCTGAAAATAACTAGCATTCAAATATTCAAGTCATACAAATTAAAAAGAAACCCTGGTTAATTATTGCGATAACTGAGATTGCTGATGACGTCTATACCATTAGATATGTATCTTTTGTCTATTTCGCTAACAGATAAAAAAGCCTAAGCCGTGTATTAAACTGTGATAAAACACGACGGGCATTTGAGAACACGAGGGAAATGTAGAAAACACGAGCCGCAGGCGAGCGTTTTCTACATTTCTCGAGTGTTCTCAAATGCCCGGAGTGTTTTATCATAGTGTAATACACGGTTTAGCTTCTTCATTTGCTTTATGATATAGAGGTAATGTGCCTAAAAACAATAAAACACGCTTTTTCTATGTTTTATACTCTGTTAAAAAAAAGGTTTTTGACCAATTAGAGCACGCGCAGGGTCCTATCTATATCATAATATTTGTTGAAGCGTTTACTTGCATATATCTCTGGATTTATATATGAAAACAGTGTTAAAGAATTCGCGCTCTGCTCAATCGTTTTTTCTTCTTTCCAAAGTAGACGAAATAAAAATTAAAAGGAATGTCAGTTTTTTTCCTCCACTCCTTTATCTTCCTTTTCTTTCTCTTCTCTCTATTTATTTAATTTCTTTTTCGTCGCTTGGAGGCCTTTAGGGGTCGTGAAATCAAAGTGCACATGAGTGATTTGGTGCAAAGTATTGACACGGTTTTTATAAATCCAGTCCTTTATAGCAACAAGAAATCACAGTCTCCTTGTTATGAGTGTTCAATATAACTACCCCTCCATTCCGATCTTCCCTCTGCTTACAATATTCTTTACTTACATTCCTTTAGTCACGAGAATCCTGTTTATTCTTCTTTTGATCTCAGGAAAGTCTGGTCTGCTATCCGGGTCTTCCTCCCAACAGGTTTTCATCAGATCTCTAAGCTCATCCAACTCCTCAATGATATTCGACACGGTGGGGCGGAAAATAGGAACCTCGGCGTCCTTGACTTTGCGTATGATTTCTTGAAAAGAACGAAACAAACAATTGTTACCAGCCTGGAAATTGTCAATATTACCTCGGGTACTAATTGATGTACATGTATATGATTCAGTTCATCGGTAATCTTAGCTTATTGCATCCACTCTTTGAAACTTAAACCTCTTATAAGCCTTACAACATTACATGTGTACTACGCCGAGAAAGAAAAGCAAATTACCTTAGCATTAGTATCGGTACTTTTTTTTGTGCTGGACTCGTAAAATTTACATACATATATATATAGCTAGTGCACGTTAGTGGGAAAGAAACTACTTGCCCAGTGGCTCGTGATCACCTAAACTAACAAGGCGAATTGTCAGCAGAGGTAAACCATACGGTTTAACCATAGTTGACAGAGGGAAAGAAACCTGGCAAAGTTCTTTGTTGTAAGTTTTTGTTGGCTATTTTGGGGGTTGCACAAAACCTGGCAAAATACAAAAGGTGGTTATGTGTGCTTATACAACTACATGTAAACAATAGAAGCATTGCAATTATATAGCCGGTTTGCTTCTTTGATGTCAGTTACCGGGTTTCTTAACCAGTTTTCTCTATTAACTATGATTTAGCATCCCATACTTGGGGATAAGCAACACTCGTGTTCGCTTTATGATACAAAACATACAGTCAAGTATCGCTTACATACATGTGGGCCATCGGGCTATTTCACATATTGAACGACCACGCACATTTCTCCATGGTAACACCGAAAATTCACCGGTCAATTAGAAGATGCGCGCGCGTGACAGTTCCTAAGATCACTTTTTTTTGTGATTAAAAGCAACGCGTTCCTCCGAAAATTTCTCCATATCTAATGTACCCTGAGTAGCAGGCGTAAAAGGGAAAGGCGGGAAGAGAAATCGGAAATGGAAGGAGGTGGGAGTGTGAAAGAAGAGAGACGCCTGCTATTAGAACCCGCTTTTGTTTATTTCGCATTCTTAGCCTCTCCTACCCCTCCCAGTTAACGCCTACATCGCAGGTTATATCAAATGTTCTAATTCACTTTTAAAAAGTCGACGGTTGTTGAAAAAGTCCCCACAATTTCTCAAGTTCTGTTGCCTAACGTTCCACGTTACAGGTCACGTCATTTTCATGGTCTGCACTCTCATTGACAACAGCTCTCGACCAATGAGCGAGCTAAAATTCTCTGAGTTATCGAAAAATATCAGTTGACATACCTCTGGTGGTCAAGTTCGAGTTATTGCTGTAAGGTCCTTTCCTGGTGTGAAATTCTTGTAGGATAATAGCAAAGCTGTACACATCACACTTCTGGAGATTTACCATTTTCAAGTAACATTCTGATCTCTTCTGGCTCCCGCTGCTGGAGGGACGTTGTTGTCGCTCGCGGAGAAGTTCCGGCGCCATCCACAGCAAGTCTGCCGGAGTAAAGCATACAATATTTCATGAAAGCGATGATCGCTGTAATTTGTTAAAGGTATAGTTTTGGTAGTCAATGATGCTGTCTGTTTGAAGAGCGATTTAAATACACTATTAATCAGGTAAAAACTGAATAATAAACTGGGCCGTTAGCCCGGTTAAATAGCCCAATCCAGTCGTTAAAAGGATGGACAACCGTATCCACCAAATATATCACTTTTAGATTGCCTTGTCTGCGCTACTGTTCTTTGGACCCAAATAACACTTTGATTTTCAGTTCATTCGCTTAATGTAATCACTAGTGACAGTTTGACGCAGTTAGGTTCGTTGTTGTTGGCCGTTGTCGTTTGTAGTTTCTTTGTAATGTTTCTGTTGTAGTTGATATCGTTATCGTTGTTGTTTTGCTTTCTCTCACCTTCGCTGCTGTTCTTTGGGCCCAGATTACACTTTAATTTCATACACGTGAGCCCGTAATCAGCGATTTTTAGCGTCCATCGGCTGTCTATCAGGCAATTGGAAGATTTTAGGTTACCATGACATTTGATTTCTGTGCTGTGAAGATATGCCATACCCTGATGAACGAAAAGTTACAGAAAAATAAAGCAAGAGATAAAGCATTTCTTAACTGCATTCCGGTCAATTAAAAACACTTTAGAAATCATCTGCTCGGAGTTCTATTGATTTAACATCAAGTGGTGTGCACGAAGAGCAGGACAAATTCTTTACGCCTGTAGTGGGAGCAATCTTCAAATCAAATTCGTTCTCTGTAATAGGCGCGCGCCCAACAGGTAAAAGATTTATACATTTACTGCGCACGTTCGAGCAATCCTCTACCTTTCTGGCCTCAGTTGTTGGAAGGCTGGATAAAGCTATCTACCAGATAAATCTGGCTATCCAATGAATAAGTGTTAACAAAACAAACTACGCTATCCGCTGGATAGTGATTTATACGCTGGATAGCGTTATCCACCTTTCGAACAAGCCGGGCCAGCGGGGGGAAAAGGGAACTCAAAAGAGACCATCTCGTGTTCTCATATTAGAGAGGCTATTTTTTTAGGTGTTCATTACACCAACGCTATTGAATATCAGGCGAAAAGTTGGTTGCTCTGACAGGTTGTGCACGCTCATATACATCCACTTTTGAGTCTACAAGGCGTCACTTACCTTTACAATGTCGGATACCAGAGAGGAGACGAAAGTTTTATCCAGGCTAACGTCTGAACAAGCCAGGAAATCCTGCAGTTTAAATCAAACAATATGTTAAGTGGAGTTACCAACGACTGAAAATCACTTCCAAGTACTAACTGAAGGAAAAACTGAATCACCGAACCGGAGTAATTCATCGTGAAAACAACACTAGTTCAGTTTCAAAACGCGAGGGAACAAAGAAAGACACACACAAAAAATAACAGAATCCGTCCGGTATTTCATGTAGTGTACGATATTAAACGCAAAAGAGAGTTTTGCCACTTTCAATTCCCCTCCCCAACACCCATAAGGATTTTTACTTTAAGACCATTGCTTCCACGCAAACTTCGCTAGAATTTATCGAGAGCATTCTTCATAATGTCAGAGACAATGTGTTTTTCTACGAACTCAATTACTTTATTTGAAAATGCCGTTAGCTCGGTTTATGGAATAACTGAGGACATTTCACAGCTGTCACAGCACTCCAATATGTCTTAAAGTTGAAGGTTCGAATATTGTAGAGCTGTTATCTATTTGACTGATATTTAACTACTTTCTTTTTTTTTTCCTCTCATTTTATTGTTATTTTTGTCATGCGTTTTATACAGGAACCCCTGGCTGGGATACCGAGGGCAACCTCTCTCCACGCATAACATTAATACATTGATTGACTGATTGACTGACTGACTGACTGACTGACTGGCTGACTGATTGATTGATTGATTGATTGAGAGAAGCATAACTCTTGACCTAACGTTAAGTTAATAACATCATGATCACCTTCAGGGTTCTCGGGCAGAAGGCAGACACAATACAGATGTATGGAGGGTCTATGGTGGCTCCGAAAAACTGGACAAGATTTTCATGACGATAGTCGCGCATCTATAAAAAAAAGGAAACAAAATAATTATACCCTTTGGTTAAATTTTATTCGTTCGTTCAGTCACTCACTTCTTAGCCTCATAACCACGGTAAATTTATAGAGAGCTTTCTACAAGCTTGTGTTTTTACATTTAAGATACAGGCGACGTATCATTACTTGTTACCTGCTTCAGTTCCAATAAAATAGTTTTTGTTAAATCAATCGCCTTGCTTCCAACTTGCTTCACTGTCACTTTATTTTCCTAAAAACAGAAGTATATCACTTTCAGGGTTAAATATTTGCTTCTTATGCGCAAACTCATCAGTGTCCAGTCTGTAGAATTTCTGATTCTTATTTAACTTGTAGCTACATCGATCACGCGTTGACGTCTTCCCTGTTACTTAATGTTCGGTCATTAGAAGTTCAAGTAACACCTTAAACAACGAAGCACCACATGAACACTTTACTTCACATAAATTTTAAAACCTTCCATTGACGCGCAAATCTTCCAACGGCACTTGAAACAACATGTCGGTGTAATGAAGAAATCCCATCAATGAGATAGCTTCGCAATAGATGTTTACTTGTAGTGGTTGTTGCTGTTTGTTGTTGTTGTTGTTGTTCAATAGAATCGTTAACTACCAACTAACTACCAACCCAAATGAATTCTGGAAATTGACTAACCAAGTTTTGAGAAAACACAAAGTCAAAAACATTGGTCCAATCTGTGATCACAACCACAACGA